AGAGCTTTAAATCGCAAAGATCTGAGGGGCACTGCCACTGCGCCCGTCACCCTGAGATGTAAGTTGACAAGTCCCATGTGCCTATAATTTCACCAGCACTCTTCAAAACCGAAACACAGTAATGCTGACATTACTGCTTGCCAGCAGAAATAGATAAGGTGGCAGTACTTCCCTGGACAAACTCTTTTACAAGTAGCTCTACTGCTGCTAAAAGTCAAAGCAGTCAACATTACCATTTATAATGTTTAGAATATACGCTATATCAAAGATTTTTCGGCGACTATTTAGAGGTAATAGATTCAGATCCTTAATAAATTTATTTTGGACTCGTTCAATTCTGTCGATATAAACTTGGTATCTCGGACTCCAGATTTAGGAAGCATATTCTAACTTACGAACGTATGCACAATATAATACTCGTGAAGTTCTTGGCCGTGAGGATCAGACTGAGTTACTCAATGTGAATCCAAGAAACTTAGTAGCCTCGGGGACCACATCTTCAATATGAGCACCAAAGATCAGCTTTGAGTCATGGACGACACCCAGATCAGATAAAAATAGTTTTAACATTAATTATTAAAAAACATCCAGATGCGATAGATCAGACTGCAGAACAATAGCATCATCAACAGAAGTGATTTTAGCATACATTTTCATATCATTAGCAAAGCTGAGTAAGTTGGAAATATTATCTTGTTATGTCATTGAACATATTTCAATTCACAGGAGTGGTGTCATGGGGCATCGGCTGCGGTCGTCCTGGCTATCCAGGAGTCTACACTAGAGTGACCAAGTATTTATACTGGATAAGGCACAACGCGCGACATGGATGCTTTTGCGCGGATTGAAGACTTTTACTAATCGATCGTTAGTCTGCATGCCTGTCGAAGCCTTGTCTGTAATTTATAATTTATTTATACATAAAAAGTCTTAAGCTAAAAAACCGCACGAATATCGACGACCCTGCATGTAAAATTGTACATTGGCTATGATCCAAGAAATCTGACAAATATACAAATTGTTCTTGTTGAAAATTGTGCCTTATTTATATAAGTTATAGATATTGGTTAGCAGTTTTAGTAAGTGATAAGTAGTTTTAGGACTCGCTGTAGAATCTGAACTACAATAGCACTAAATACAGGAATTAAGGTGAATTTATTGAACGAATTTTCTTATATTCTTGAAATTTCAATTGTTACAGTGGTTAGTCATTAAAAGGCATACTAATTGTAGGTATTCGTATATACGTTTGTTTTTACGGTCTATTTTATTTATATTACTCATTAAACGACCCGCATAGTTAACAGAAAGTGTGTTTCATTCGCAATCCCCTGGTCTATTGCCGAAATAATTTGAAGATAAGCTTCAATGAAGGTTTTGTGTTACTCATTGTAAGGTTGGTGTCTACAGCGATCATGTTGCCTATTTTGTTCTGGATTTATTGCATTCAATTCGCAGTAAGCATAATTTAAAATTACAGACAGATTTTACTTATATTTAACATTTATACATAATTACTTATATCTACATTTATCTATTACTATATTTATACAAACCATCAGCGCCTACCAGTGCGACGAAATTCACTCTGGGACACTACCTAAAACACCCAGACCAGAACCAATTCAGAAAAAAAAATATTTACCAAATTGAACCTGTCACGAATCGAACCTAGGTCCTCCTTTTTTAGCGTCCACAGTGCAAACTGGGAGGCCACCAATGTTATCAAATGCCCCTAGATTACAATTTGAACTATGCCCATGCAAAAGGATAATTTTCAGGTTAGTTTTCTGTACCTAATTTCGGTGGCAAGTTTCATTATTTAAATATTCGAATATTTGATCGTGAAATATTAAATAATATTTCAGGATACTACACTCGAAACTTTAGGTAATACTTCATTATAATATTCTAGAATATTTAAATAATAAAAATTGCCACCCAAATTAGGCAGACAAAACTGACCTGAAAATTTCCCAATTAACATTTATTGTAGGTAATAAATATTTTGTAATGTATCTTATTCTTCGTAAAATGTATAGTTTCATTGTTATTACTTATTATAGTAAGTATGAGTATATAGTAAGAGTATTAATCCCGATTTTCTGTTTCAGTCTGCTTTCTACAATCCAGCACGATTTTTTGATTTTATGTTCAGATATCAAAAGTTATGTTTTTGTCGTAAGTTACCAATGTTTTATTTTCCATGTTATTGTGTTCCTTTTTTGAGAAGGAAAAAAGTGCAATTATTATACAGGATTATTTGCATAATAATAACAGCCTCCCACGACTATAGTAATATAGTTAGTTAGTTGTTAGTAATAACATCATACACTACAACTTTTGTTCTATGACTTTTTATAAAACAACAAATTTACTAAAAATAAACTAAGTTTTTCTTGTATTACTTAACTGGCACTTTAGGTAGCAAGGTAAGTTCATACGTGCTGCGGCCTCCGCGGGGACTCCCACCCATCCCACACAGAGTTATTACCTGTTAGAGCGATATATTGAAATATGTTTATTTTTGTATAAAACTAAAGTCTGATGAATTTATAAATAGTTATGGAACAAAAGTTATTGTTCATGCTTGCCACCCAGTTCTGAATACAAGAGAAGACCATGTATTCCTATTCCACAATTTAGAACAAATTTCGCGCAAAGACAATTTAGCTTTAGAGGTCTTTTCCTATATAGGAACCTTAACAAGAATGTAGACATTATAAAATTGAATAGATTCTCATTAAAAAGTACAGTAAAAGTTATGTTGTCGAAAGTAAACTATGATCAAACTGAAAAACTTTTATGACAAATGCGTAGGTAAACCACAACATGCACACATACACACACACGCGCACGCGCATGCGCGCATACACACACACACACACACACACACACACACACACACACACACACACACACACACACACACACACCCACACAAACATACACATCTACACGCACTCTCACTCACTTACACATGAAGTAAGAAATTATATAAGTACTAAAAAATATGTAAAATAAAGCAATACTCTTGATAATAATGATAATAAAAAGAGAGAGAGAGAGAGAGGCTTAAAAAGGGTACGATTGAAATTAGTACATATTTTTTATGCTTAAATAGGAGAACTGTATCATATAGATCGCATTATTTTTATGAATTTCATGTGACAAAAGCACTCTTGTTGTATGAACTGTATCATCACATGTGAATTTATTATATCCAGGGTACGATTTTTTTCATTAAATAAAAGTAATAACATCGTATATGCTTGTAGAAAAATATCAGGACCGCAGAAAGAGAAAAAAAAAGCAAAATCAAGTCGTTGCAAGTGATGATCCGCATTTGGGAAATAGACAAGATAGTATGCATGTACGTAACTAACGTTGTAGGTTCCTTGTTTCACTGTTTCCAGGTTGTGGGATAAGCATACATCAAAGCGTAATTGAAAGCAACATAAATGGACGGCTCGTGGGCGACCTGGGTTCTCCTCACGAATTTCCCTGGCTAGCTCTGGTTAACATTGGCTCTAAATCTTTAGGAGGATCTTTACTGTCCGACAGACACGTAGTCACTTCTGCTTCAGCATTATATGGGTATGTCAAATTAGTAATATGTAATCTTTAATTTTTATTTGTTTTCGATCCCAACCATTTCATTTTAATATGGCTATTTATATTTGATTTAGACAAGCCTTTAATATAGTAAAGCCAGCCAAAAATGTCATCATACATCAAAAGTGCTTTTGTCGCGTGAAAATCATAAAAATATTTTTTATATTTGAAAATTTATAACTAAATGTAAATAAAAATATCAAAAAATTATCGACTTATTTCGTTAAAAGATCTTTAAACCTCACTGCTGAAGTTTTGCCAGATGTGTCCTTGTTACACTAAGGCCTGCAGGGGTGTGCCATTATTTAAATTTGTAATGATGACATTTGAAGACGTGAAAGAATTCCATAAATAAATAGTTCGCCATAATTCTTTGATTATTAGTACTTAATTTTTATTCAAAATGGTTTGTCTAAGATTATTATTAGATATTAATGTTCATCAACATCGAACAGGCTTACCGCTTAACTGAGTCGGTTCCTGAAATAGTTTTCTTGGAGCGGGAGGAGGGACAGTTTACGTAACAGTTATGTCGCGTTGCATACGGGATAATTTCAACAACATTTTTCATGCGATATTCAATAGCAAGTTGGTTGAAATCGCCTTTGGTTGACTGGAAGAGATCCCTTTTGGAGATAATTCTACCTTTAGTATAAATAATATTTCTTTTGTGTTTGTTTGGTTTCTAGTCAATTACATAATGTAACATTTCAATGATTTGTCGTAGGAACCTGTAAATGTCAACTCAAGTTCAAGTGTACATTCGTAGCAGAATATAAAGGTAATTTGTTGCAAAATATATTATTTACAATATGTACATTTTATTCCCTAGCGTAAAAGCCAAAGATATAATAGTGACACTGGGATCATATGACCGTTGTGGCGAAGAAGGAAACCCGGCGCTGAACAGTACAGTGGATGCTGTATTTCTACATCCAGGTTATTCTCCCAGTGTAAAAAGTAACGACATTGCATTGCTCAGGTTGAGTCATGCGGTTCCATTTAGTCGGTTTATAACACCCATTTGCCTGCCGAATGAAGGTAAGTACTTCTGGAAAAATTACGTTTTTTACAAATTTCAAAAAAGAAACAACGAATTTTCTCAATTATTATTTCCAGTTGTCACTACTGGCTTTTTTCACCCTGGCAGCAAATGGGAAAAAAATTCCATGTGTCCTGGTGGTGACAAATGGAAAAAAAAATCTGAACTGTTGCAATCCCAATTACTGTTCGTTTATTGCCGCCGTTTTGATTTTTTATTCAATTTGTTTTTTTACCACTGGCAACTACTGGGATGTCTTAAATTCCATTTGTCGCCAGTGGCAACAACAGATCTTTTTATCCCATTTTTTACAACCTGGTAACATATGGGTATTTTTCCCATTTCTAGCCAGTAGAAATCACTACTGGCAACAACTGAGATTGTTTACCCCGTTTGTCACCATACACATATTTGTAACATATGGGATTTCTTTTTCCTGTTTGTCGCCAGTAGGACTCACCACTGACAACAACTGAGATTTTTTGTTCCGTTTGTCACCACCAATCCACGTAGCACGGCTACGCATGATAGTCGCGACGCGCGCGATAAAATTGAAATAAGCGCGCGCTATTGGCTATCTAAATTAGATCTGATTTAGACAGGCAATAGCGCGCGCTTATTCCAATTTTATCGCGCGCGTTACGACTATCATGAGCAGTCATGCTACGGGGGCGGGTAACATATGGGATTTTTTTTCCCGTTTGTCGCCAGTGGGAACAAAGCCAGTGGTGGCAACTGGGAATAAGCTGATTACTCCGACATTTGTAAATCAATTTCGACTATTGTCAAACAACTCCATGACAACCCTTTACCAAAGAGATATTATAACACTTTTTTTGTTGAAAAGGTATGTTAGTAGATAAAGATAGGTTTTGGTATGTTAGTGGTGGTTCCATTTAATTTTCAAGAAAATATTCCACTTCTAAGGGTAACAAATTAGGGGATGAATCCGGTTTTTAGGATATCACCCACTTTCCATTAACCGATTTCAATAAAACTTGGCAAATATATGTAATTCCAGACACTTTTGAGGTAAATTTTTTAAATAAAAATGTCATAATTGGGTCAGCCTCTTTCGACGGGGTTAGTATAATTAGTTTTCCATTGGAAGTATCTTACTTCGAGTCAACCAACTGTTTCTTGTGGCCATGGATAGAGAAAAATTTGTCATATTGACGGCCAACCTCCAGTAGTGGAGAGGCACTTTAACAACAAGAATACGATCATTGGTGTAGCGTTTATTTATTGTGATATTTATGTTTTTAGGTCTACAAGACTGGTTGCATGTTGCTTGGGTAGCCGGTTGGGTGGATGGCGTAAATTACTCGTGCACTCCCAGAGTGGCGGTTCTTCCGACTCTACCTACAAAGACTTGTATGAAAGAAGTTGATCCTTCATTTATGACCCCTGATAAGGGCTGCCTGGGACCTGTGGGAGTTAAAAGCATAATATGTGAGGTATGAAAATACTCACAATAACTTTGTTTTGATAGCCAAATGCTTTGATCTATCACCTCTCAAGCACAGACTGTGGGTTCGAATCCGGACCGAAAATTTCGAAATTTAATTTGAGATTTACCATGAGCTTTTCGGTGAAGGTAAACATGATGAAACCTGCGCGTCGTAGAAGGATTGTGAATCTTCGGAAAACGTGTGAAGTCCTTAACCCACATTGGACTAGTGTGGCGAATTATGGCCTAAACTGTCGCCTGAGAGGAGACTCGTGACTAGTAGTGGGAAGTATAGATAGGTTGATGATAGTCAGTAGCAGTCTTAATATACCTAAAGTTCTGTAGCGAACTCCACTTTTTCATTTTGGATACAGTTCACTCGGTGTCTCAAAAGTATTTTCTCATTTGTTTTTTTAGGATTACTTAAAGTAAAAAAAAAATTTTTTCTTCATAGTGTACAACTATGATAAAATAGGCATCTTTTACTATTTATAAAAATATAAAATAAAAATATCATTAACTCGATTTGTATCAATATTCGTTTTTTTTAAGTATTCGTCACATTAGTGAAATGATACATATTACACAGTATTATTTATTTTTTTTTTGCACAGATGCAATTATTGATAAAGTACTAAGAAAAAAAATTCCTTTAAAACTGGAACATAAAACAAAAAAATAAATTATATTATGTAAGCATCTAAAATTATAAATTTTTCTAATCCATTTTTCTCAAAACATGAACTTCTGAATTAGCTTGTTTATATAATGCATAATTTCGATAAGAAAGAAGATGCCCATAATATTAACCTTAGAACTAAGTCTAAACTCATGGTACCACGATTTCGTTTAACTAAGGTCGTTTACCTTAGTTAAACGAAACTTGTTTTACGGGGAACTGTATACATTTTTACAATAAGTTTCCGGAGCATATAGTATAAAAGTAATTTCACGACATGAGTCTAGATTCCACTGAAGTATTATTCAAAGTGTATTTCCATTTAATTTTATTTGAAAAGAGCAATCCCTAAAGATTTTTTCTCGTTCTTCTCAGGGAAGTCAGCACAGTGAGCAGTAGCTTCAAAAATGACGTTTTGAAGTGTAAAATATTACTTATGAAATAAATTATTTTGTTATATTACCTTTGGTTTTGACATTAATAACGTTTCATGTAGCATAGCAATGTATTCATTGATATTTTTTATTTCGACAGGATGATATAGGAACTCCAGTCATGGCCCAAACAAATTTCGGAGGAGCCTTCAAATTGATCGGTATAACATCATCGTCGTCTTGTGAACAGACCATCACACCGCTGTACACGAGAATCACCGACCACGCATCTTGGATTTATGAAAATATTCGCGATGACTGTCGTTGTTTTTAGGTGTGACCTTGAATATGTGTATTTTTTATAGCACGGAGTTAATTATTGATTTAAGTTGGATTGTACCTAGAATTTTTAAACACGAAAAAACATGCGGGTTAGGAGACAGAATGAACTTTTGTATTATATTGTTCTTTACTGAATCTACCAACCTAATATATTATTTAAATTAAAAAACCTTTTATCTCTTCTTACACATAATAGTGTGCCCGGATAACCACACCAATTGTTTGGCCTCAAACTAGAGAATTCCCTATACAATGAGTACAGAGAAACGGAATTCATTCTGGGGCATTTTTTTAATAATATCAACTGACAATATGAGCTAGATCGTGCGCCTGATGGTAACCTACACGCCTGTTCATAAAAGTTGTACTGCCACTCAGAGCTTTAAATCGCAAAGATCTGAGTGGCACTTCCACTGCGCCCGTCACCCTTAGACATAAGTTGAAAAGTCCCAAGTGCCTGTAATTTCACCAGCACCCTTACCCTTCAAAACCGAAACACAGTAATGCTGACATTACTGCTACTAAAATTTCCCGCAACACCCAGACCAGAACCAATTTAGATAAGTTCATTTCCCAAATTGGTTCTACCATCACATACCTTACCTACAGGAGCACGACAATACCTACATGAGCTCGACAAAAGGCTGAGTATACTCCATTGGAAAAAGCTAGAAATAACAATTTAAAATTCAATACACAATAATCTCAGCACAGAGATTATATATTCATCATAAAGAATATGATAGCTTTTAGCCGCGACTTCGTCTGCGCAGATGTTTATACCTAAAATTGATTTCGTATATGATATTCGTGTCAATATGGATCGTACTGGATAATAACTATATCTAATAAATGTTCATCTGTTGTATTATGTTCATGTAAGTTCAATAGTGTAATAAGAAAGTTTAAGTCAAATATCCTATTGCTTTTTTTCTACCATAAAGCACGCCAGTTGTGTTCGTGGTTTGTAGATATAAGAGTTAAATTTGTAGATAACGCACACACTCAACATAGCCCCGCAATAGGGAAACCCTGTATCGCGGGTGCCATGGACACACATAGACAACCACAAATTACACCCAAACTCACGAGAGAAATAAATATAGGCCACATAAATATTTCTCCCGACCCGGGAATCGAACCTGGGACCTCAGCGTGGCAGTCCTGTCATGGTACCCGTTCGGCCACCGAGGCAGTTATATGTTAATTTTAACGAAGACCAATTGGATCACGTACAGGATAAATTTACATAAAATTACGAATAAATGAAATACAATGAATAGTCATTTTGTTTTGTTGTTTATTAACACATTTTGTATCAGTTCTTACTCGCTTATAAGCAGTATCACGGAGTAAATAATATACTTATATATTATGAAATAAAAGATAAAACTCACGCTATAGTACCTATAGCGTGTACCTAGTAGCCTACTTTAGTACTACAATTACATTTAAAAGCAGATCGTAATGATTTTGCACTATTATTTATTAAATATATATTATTTATATAATTTCGTATGATATTATCATATTATGTTAGATTATTTATGTATATGTTAAGAGTCTATACAATTTCCACATACGTTGCACAGTTTATCGTGCCAGTAGAATTAGCCGGTAACACTTGTTCTGCTGTTCAAGGTGTTATTCTGTAAATTGAAAATGTCCTTTTCGTGGTAAAGTGGAAGACCTTCTTGTTTCAATACAGCAGAAGGAGGATCATAGGTGACATTGTAGGAGGGGTTCAAAGGGTGCAGCGGTCCTATCGCTTTCACAGCCGCCTTTGCTTCATCGTTACCAAATTTGTAGTGAGTGCCGTCACCGGCTCGTGAGATTCTGCTGTTAACCTGTGGTTGGAAGAAATTAACATTTTAATTTTTTATAATATATTTTGGTTCGTTTATTTTCGCTACAATAAACTTATAAATTTCCGTGTTTCAAACTGAAAGATCTGAACAATCAGTATAAGAGCTATAAAAATCCAAGAATCTGATTGAAATAGATCATTTTCCGAACTGGTGTTGTACTAAAATGTTGATAATCCGAGATTATTTAGAAAACACTAAAAGACAAGCAAATGAGCTCAGGGGTTCAAACCATTAAAACAGTATCTCACCAATTCCGGAGAAGCGACTTTCAAATCGGATGCCCATCCAATAGTTTCAAAGAACTTTATGATTTTTGCAGAGTAATTGAATAATTCTGAGAGTTCAGCGCATTTGTAGTCCCAGGGGAATGCATGGTGGTAATTGTGCCAGCCCTCGCCCAGGCTGATGAATGACACAAACCAGGATTCCACGGGTTGGAGATTCCTGGAAATATTATAGCGATATTTTAATTTACAATTAAAAAGATGATTAGCAGCAATAAATTTCCAAGTCTAGTGCTAAGATAAGCTCAGTAAATTACCTGTTAATAAATACGAATACAGAAGAAATTCTGTATTACTATTAAATATTTAGTAAACTATAGGATAAACCTAAATAACATTGGTTAGTTTTATTAATTAGAAACAAACATAATTTTTATTATAGAATTAATTCAGCCTCCGAACTCTCCGTTCGCAAAATACACATTCAGGAGTTGGAGTGGTAATTATCAAGGTAATTTTGTACTAACTTATCAAAAGGTCTTGTGCCCCAGAGATGCGCAGCGCTGTTGACGAGCCATGTACCATTGAGCTCGAAGATGTAGCGGAAAACGTAGACGAAGAGGATAGAGTTTAGCCAAGATTCACCAAAGAAATGGACGGGCACCCACGCAGGTATTAGAATAGCGAAAATTAAATACAAATAGTAATAGTATCTGAAAAATAACAGAAGAATGGTTTGTCGACTAAATCAATAAAAGTAATATAACATCACAGTAAACATCTTCACAGTAAATTCTGATGAAATACTTACTTTTTCTGAAACATAACCATCCAGTCAGCTTGTAAGTCAGTCATATCGATTCTTCTCCCAAGCTCAATGACGTAGGGATGTTTTTTCGACATGAGCCAGCCAATATGACAGAAGAAAAATCCACGTTTAGAGTTGTGAGGATCACCGTCGGTGTCGGAGTAGCGATGGTGAAGGCGGTGATCACGACACCAGATGAACATTGAGTTCTGAGAAAAAAATGCATTACGAAAACTAGAGGAAGAAAGAGATATACATATCTCTATGATACATAATTATATGTTCCAGTGAAGCTACATATGAAGGCTCAGCGGTACCTAAGCGTTCTCCGTACTATGCTAATACCAGGCAATATTAACATAGTAGGGATAAAAATAAGAATAAAAAGTACGGCCTATTGGCTTGAGTTGATATGCGTAGATTTCAAACAAAACTAATAAAAATAAATTCAATTAAAATAAAAATTAAAAAAATAAACAGAAGCAACATGTCAAAAGAATCCAAGACTCAGCCTTTGAGGACTATGCTAATTACATAGCCCTCGATGGTATTCAGTTATGCCCCGTCATAATAATAATATTGAACACCACAATTCAAATATGTATATATGTTACATGTTACGTAGAAAACAAAAATCAAAATGCAAATAACTGTAGATATTTAGGCACTAAGTGAATAAAATTTAATATAAGCAAGAATTACAAATAACTATAGTAAAATGTCGTGGTAATTTGTAGTAGTTACCTGTCCTGCCATGGTTTGCATAATTAGTAGAATAGCTCTTAAAGCCGGCTTTGCTTTAAAAGTTCTATGTGTATATAATCGATGAGCGCCTATTGTAACGCCCTCCGTTGCAAAGAATATTACGATTACGACTGCAAAATAGAAGTAATACATGTTTGTTAGAAAGTTTATTATAGAATTAAAGAAATCATTAAAGGAATATAGGTTTTACTTACACCATATAAATGTTTTGAACGTAATCCCTCCAGTTAGAGCAATGGCTAGGCCCCATAAGCCGAGTATATGTAAAATTAAAAATCCAATGGCGTTTTTCCATACTATTTCATGTTTGTACGAATAATCTGTTCCAATACACTTCGCGTTTATGATCGTATCAAGATTTTTGGTCCCATGAAGTTCTCTTTTGGTAATATTATTCGAATCCCATTCGGTATCACGTGATAAAAATTCCTCTGGTGACACAGTCATTTTTGGTTTTCGATTTGTTTGTAATTGATCTAATCACTGATGCTCACTGCTGCCTGAGGTATATTTTCAGTTTATATAAGGGTAATTGGTTCTATTGTTCACATGTGTTGCAAAACAAGAACTTGAACTTAGTTTTGTATGTAAATTTCTATTGACTATTATTGGTAACATATTGAGATTCGTGCATATAGTTGTTTTTTAGATTGTTTGGTAAAAAGAGCAACGGAGTTAGCTATTTAATTAAAAATCTTTAAATTGCTTACAGACAACAGCAGAAAAGAAAAACATGCTTGGCCATTTAAATAAGAATTGAAATATATTTATTTCAGTGCTTGACACTTGAGATTTAAATTCAACAGTGTTCTGCTTACTATAACAACAGTTCAGAGTGTTCAGCTTGATGCGCTTTTGGTTGTGTACATCACCTTATCGCATCAGTTCTGTGCACGCGATTAAAAAAAGTACGAAACTTTCTGATGTAGAAACAGTGACATTGGTTTATTTTGGCTACTATTGCACTTAATATTTGTATCGATATTGCCAACTTCCCAGCATAGTGGATAGTCCTGTGGGGAGTCCCTGAATTTGTTTTGTCTGAAGTCATAAGGTGTGCGTTTATGTTACCATTTCACGTTTGTTAATTAAAAACTCTAAGATGTGTTTTCTACTAAGATCCATGATCAAGCAAAGAATAATTATTATTATGTCCTTTAGATCGATAATTCAATATTAATAAAATGTTTGAATGACTCGAAGATTTCTATGTAACATATTTCATTTTTATAATATTGACGAACGGGACAAACTAGATCGTATGCCTGATGGTAAGCTACACACCTGTCCATAACAGTTGCAGTGCCACTTGAGACATAACTTGATAAGTCCCATGTGCCTGTAATTTCACCAGTGCTCTTGCCCTTCAAAACCTGAACACAGTAATGCTGATATTACTGCTTGGCAGCACAAATAGATAAGGTAGCAGTACTGGACCCTGGACGAACTCAGTCACAAGGAGCTCTACTGCTACTAGATAAATTGAATTAATGTGATTACCGTGAAAAATATGTTAAATAGAAAACTAGTAATTAATACAAAAATATATTTAAAGTGGAACATAATCCCATCCTTGGCTAGATTGGTTATAACAGTTTTTTACAAGTTTGTACGTAGTGAACGAGCAGTAGCTTAAATGTGACGTTTTCAAGTGTAAATTGTTTTTACCTATGGAATAAATAATTCTATGACTTTGACTTTGGCTGTTACCAAAACACCTCAATACGTTCAGTCAGTGTATTGGACGAATAACAATTCAACAATTCAAATGAAACAATTTCAGTTATTTATTGTATAAACCCTTAGACAGGGTATCATTAATATGGTCATAGTTAACGTCATGTGTGTCTGTTTTAAAAATGAAGGATGTGTACAGCCATGGCCAAAAGTATTCAGCACCCTAAAAATCTCGAACGTGCACAATAAGTATTGCAGAAAGCAGATCTTATTGTTAAGGATTATTTTTTCGGCAACTATAAAGGTTTGAAAACAACCAACCACCAATAAAGCACCTGGTGCCATAAAATTTGTAATTTTTGTATGTATTTCTCAGGTCACCACTATCGCTCGTTACGTGCACATCCAGTGGTCTAGTGCGCTTTTGGTGTTTTGTTTAGTTACATTTAGTGACATTGTTGCAATATGCCTAAAAGAAACGAACTTAGTTAAGAACAACGTGTGCAGACGCAGCTTCTGCATGAGCACGGTAAATCACAGGTAGAGATTTCTAAAACTGCAAAATGTTCGCGCCGAATTGTGCAATATGCTATTGAGCGATTCGCCGCTACTGGATCTTATAGGAACAGATATAGAACAGGGCGCAATCGCACCACCACAGGTCGTGAGGACCGAAAGTTAATGAGAGTTGATGAGATTAACTTCTCAGTCGAAATTAAGAAATCAATTTCTGCTCGCACTACTCGAAGAAGGCTTCAGGAAGTTGGCCTGAAAGGCTGTAAATAAAGAAACATGTAACGGAAAAGAAGAAGAAAAAGAAATAAGTTTCACCGAAGAAGATTGGTCAAATATCGTGTGGTTAGACGAGTCAAACTTTGAGAATTTGTATTAGACAATTTCACGTTCCAAAGATATCAAACAATATGATTTTAAAATAAAATTCAACGACGAAAATATTTAACATTTCCGAAGTCTCTATTTTTTATTAATTTTTAGATTTTTGGTACACCTGGTGTGACTTTTGTGCGCCGCCGGATAGGCGAAGAATATAGTCCAGGCTGTAGTACCAACCGCAAAACACGGCGGAGGCAGCATAATGGTCTGGGGCTGCATGACTAATTCAGGAGTTGGCGAAATGTTCGTGTGCGAGGGCCGCATGAACTCTTCAAAATACGTTAATGTCCTGGAATCTGTTAAATTGAAATGCGTTAAATTCCAGCAGGATAACACGCCATGTTATAAATCTGCCTACACTACAACATGGTTTCGAGAAAAGAACATTGTTGAAAAGAACAGTGGCTTGCCCAGTCTCCGGACCTAAACCCCATAGAACATTTGTGGGGTTTATTAAAGCGCAACGTCAGGCGTCACTAAATAAACACAAAGGAAGAACTAAAACGCCTTCTGCGCCAAGAATGGAACGCTATATGTCCTGAAGACTGCAAAAATCTTGTCCGCTCTCTACTAAAAAGAATTTCTACCGTAATTAAGACAAAGGGTGGACCTACACAATATTGATTTTTATTTAATAAATAGTAATATTAACATGTATAAATTATTTCATTTTCATATTCCCCAAAAAACTGTAAGTTATCGTGGGTGCTCTATATTTTTGGCCAAGGCTAATACTATTTCGCAATGGTCCTTAATAAAGAATGGCAGATCATTAATATAAATGAGAAATAGGCGTTTACAGTGTACCTGCATTTGAGAGACCTGTTCAGTGGAAGGGCGAGGCATTGGAATAAACGTACACGTTGGTTCACTTATCGTATTTAAATCCGTTAAGGCATTTTCGGTAAAGCGTTTGAACATTGGAGCGTTTTAGCATTTCGGCGAGCAGATGCTGCAGATGATGACAAGTGGTGATTTATTCAGTGTGTCAAGATTTGCCAGTGAAAGAGGTTGTGGTTATAAATATGAAATGGGAATATATTGACGTATATTTAGAAGAAAACGCTTTTTTAGACATGACTTGTTTGATGAAAGAACTGACTGCATGATATGTATTTTGTCATTGAATGATGATTTACCCATGACCCTGTTTGCACTTCTCTTATTATCATTTCGAACGAAATTACGATACTATACTATTCCAGAAGAATCACATTCGCAATGTAAACATGACAGTAAATGGTTATTATTAGCATTATTATTTAGTTTTGACGACTGTGGTGGCCCTACGGTTTGCGCTGTGGACACTGGACGAGGAGGTCCCGGGTTTGATACACGGTAGGACCAGTTTGGGAAGTGAACTTTTCTAAACTGGTTCTACTTGAAGTGTTCTGGCAAGTGCCCTAAAGGGAATTCTGTGACCCTGGTGCTCTTAGTACAGATATACCCTGTACATATAGTGCAGGGCATTTTCGTTACAAACTAACATTAAAAAGAGCAGTTGTTATCACAAAAGTCTGCAGGACATAGTAGAGGTTGCTATTCTGTTTTCAAACAAAATAAAACAATCTGCGTATTGTCCCTGCGAAGATCTTTTTTGATTTGATTACATTCGTTATATTATTTATCTACACATATATCATAAACTCTCTATAATGTTTTCAAAAACCGCAAATTACAACCAGCTTAAAGGTAAACTGTTTTGTTAGAACAAATTTCTTATCCGTCAAAATGTTATTATTGCTTCAAAATAACATCGAATTCGATGTTATTAATATTGTAAGTCAATGTTATTAATACATTAAAATTTCGAAAATATTTGAAAAACAAAACAATTTGATTGGACCTCAATTCTAATATCAGTCGAGATGAAATTTTATTCCAAATGAAATGTCAATAGCAAACTACATATTTGACGATTTTACACGTTATTTGATATCGAACGATATGATAATAGGGGCCGATTCTAGTTTGTCTATGAATTAAAAATAAAAACTACGGTTGTGTGACATGCGTGAGAAAAGTTTTTATTTGCCGCAATTTCGTCAGTCGTAACATGCGGTTCCTGAACACATTACAGAGAGCTTATAATATGTGTGTAGATAAACAGTTTATATAAATCAGTGTACATAATTAGGCATTAATACACTCGTAGACGTTTTTTAATGCCTTTCATTACATAACAGTCACATAAACTACTATTTTCTGAAGCAAAATGTCGAATGTCATTAAAAAATAATAATAACAGCTGAAGTAGGTTAATATAGAGATCTGTAAAAGATTCGTTTTTGAAAGTTCTTAAAACGAAATTCTTGACCACTCTACTCTAAAGCTATAGGTACATACCGTTTTGATAACTTCCTTACCTATTTGTGCACGCCACTGCAATTTGGAACGTGCAATTGTACTTACCCAAAGATACGACTGTACTATACTAAATTAAACTTCAACATTCAATTTTCAACATTCAACTTCAAAATTCATAAAACATTAAAACCATGATTTACCGTAGACAAAATTAGTTAAATCTATGGTAGCTTACGTTGCATTTTCGAATGATGTCGGAGACGCAGAGAGGGGAGGGCGCTGAACTGAAACCGGCGACGGCGGCGGCTGCCGGCCGCCGAGCTATGAGAGACAGCGTCAGAATGTCTTCAGAGCTCGTTTACGCTCGGCTTGGCCGCGTTTTTTGAAAAGTGCAAAATTTTATTGTAAATCAAAGATTATTGGTTCCCAATCACAATAAACCTATATACTAAATATATGCATTAAACGTACTTAAATAGTTGTGAAAGTGAAAGTTCCCGCTTTAGGGAGTTACCTTCGGATTAAACTACCTTCGGGCTGGAAAACTACCTTCGGATTGGAAAGCTACCTTTGCTGAGCTTCCTTCGGGTTCATACACCTGGAGCTTGACTACGTCCGCGCTAGGACGAAGCATTTCCGCTGAACGACTACCAATTGCTGCTCGTCCTGTGGCCCTTCTTTTGCGCCGGCAAACATACAGGGGAGTACCATCCTCGGAAGCGGAAAACCTAAAGTCTTAGGGCACGTCGTTACCACGACCCGTAGTGAATTTATGTACAGTTTTTTTTTAATGAAATTGTAAATTATTATTTTTTTATAATTATTTCAATTTTCGGATTTCTTTGGTTTGATTTTCTACTCTCATAGGAAAAATAAAACTAGGGAATCGAATTCGGTACAACGGTAATTTACTTCAGTACTTAAATTATAAAAATTATCACCTGAAAATTGTCCAATTGCCCTAATTTCATGAAACTCATGTCTCGATCGAAACTAAAGTGAGAAACATTTTGGTTCCTTTTTAGTTCTGTGCTTGTACAAACTCGTTTTATTTAACGTGTCACGAATCCGCATCACGAAAGCACTCAAGTGGTAGTAAAACTCCCTGATCTGGACTTCGAAAGAATTAAATGTTGATTTAAATATCCCGGACCCTTTTTGTGTCGGAAGTAACGTGACACCCTGAAGTAAGCAGCGATGTGCAAACCCCTAAGTACTTATCATATATTTTTAGGTTATTGATCTTGCAGTTGGAGCTACGGTTAAAAATTAGTATTTGAGTTTAATGTAGTATTATTACTTTATAAGTAACAAGAAGTTATGCTGCAAAATATTTGTAGTCGTTAACAAAGTCGCTTACTCACTTAGCGCCACCAGGCTTTATTTAGGTAACGAAATAATCAAGATCCCGAAATATCGATTTACATGTATATTCAAATGAAAATTCATGATTATTGACTATACCTAATACATTACCATTTGTTCATGTAAGGTCAATGGAATAATAAAAAGATTTATTCAAATATTCTACTTCTTCAATAAAATAAAATAAGTGTAAATAAATGTGTCAAGACCTATTATTGGATCACGTACAGCGTAAATTTACATAAAATTAGGTATAAATGAAATACAAGGAATAATCTTTTCATTTTGTTTTTTATTAAAAAATCTTAGATCAGTTCTTAGTCGTTTTGAAGTAATATCACGGAGTAAATAATATACTTGTATTTATATCTTTTAAAATAAATTATAAAACTTATAATATAGTATACAACAGTGAATAGCCTACTTTAGAAAGAAGAAAGAAAACTGTTTATTACACAAGCACAGACACGCATATAGACAAAAAAAAAAAAAAAATACAAATAAATACAAATAATTTATTTCACAATTAAATAGTGCGGGTACATTACATTTAAAATGAATTGACTTAATCAAGGAACACAACTTAATTGTAGCGTAAATCGCAAGCAGAGAGAATTGCGTAATGATTCCTGCACTAGGCTAGGCCTGTCTCGCAGGTAATCAAAAGACAAAACAACAGTGGAACAATAATTATAATAACAACAATAACAACAATTCAAAATTAATCTTATAGGCCCTTGGAGAGGCAGGAATCTAAATAAATAATGATATAATAATAACAATAAAAAAAATTAAATTAAAAGAATTGATACTGATTACTGGATTAAAACAATTAATAATGCAGTACTTAATTCACCGTCAAGCGTGTCGCGACTGGTGCAATCGGGACTTGATCAGCTTTAGCCACAAACGGTTATTTTTAAACAGTTTCGTGGCGATGATTTTCGGCAAGCCCGGGTTTTACTTTAGTAATACGATTTTAAACGTAGATTGAAAGATTTTACCATCTACGTTACAATATATTATTTAGTAACTATAAATTAGTGTACAGAACTAGGTGTTCTATTATCATATAATGTTTTGAATACTTATACATGTTACGAGTCTTTACAATGTGCCCCCGTTGAGCCACGTTGTGCAGTTCGTCGAGCCAGCAGTTACGTCAATTTAATTTCGCATTTAGCCGATCACAGTACTCCTGCTTTTCAAGCTGTTATTCTCTAAATTGAAAACGTCTTTTTCGTGGTAAAGTGGGAGACCTTCTTGTTTCAATACACCAGAAGGAGGTTCATAAGTAACATTGTAGAAGGGATTCAAAGGGTGAAGGGGTCCTATCACTTGTACAGCCGCCTTTGCTTCATCGTTACCAAATTTGTAGTGAGTACCATCTCCAGCTCGTGAGATTCTGCTGTTAACCTATGAGTAGAAAACATTAACGATTTCATTTTCTATAATATAATCGGTTGTTTTATTCCGTTTTGACAAATGTATATGTTAACGGTAATATGTATAATTCAGTCATTATGTCGAATACTTAGTCATTCTATACAATACATCTCTATTGTTACTTTGTAACTGTTATACAAATTATTTAGACATTGTATATAAAGCTAGGTACTGTATAAAATGCTTTAGCAGGTATATGAAAAAGTTGCACGAGCCCAATGAGCGAAACGAGCGTGTCTCGGCCGCGGCTAGCGAGTGTCAGAACCGAATTTGTAAGTGTTTCCGAGCTGGATCGAAAACACAAAACGAAAAATTAAATATTAAGTAAATTAAGTAAATCAATTCAGCACTTTAAACAAAGAAAGGGTTTTCTAGGTGGTTGGTTCCAATAAAGATGAGTTTAAATTTCTGTAGTCAAATAATGATTGGATTTACTTTCAGATATCAGACAATTACATAATTCATAAGTATAATAGTTTTGCTAAATGCATTCAACATGTTAAGTTTGATTTATGTAGTTTGCATGTATAGTGGGCGGCGGATAACCGATGGATGCACGTCGCGTCCAACCGCTAGTCAGGAAATCTTTGGGAGATTCCTATGTTCAGCAGTGGAAGTCTTACGGTTGATATGATGATGATGATGTTATTTAGTGTATCAATATTTTCGTTGCTACTATAATATAATTTTATATAATACATAGAATACCGAGGTATTGTATAGAGTACCGGATTATACATTGCCGATAACATATGAAATCTTGTTTCAACCTAAATGTATATCCCGGACAATTAATAGCAAAGTGTTAACAAACCGAGATTATTTAGAAGACACTAAAAGATAAGAAAATTACCTCCGGGTGGTTTAAACCGTCAAAATAATGTCTTACCAGTTCCGGAGAAGCGACTTTCAAATCGGATGCCCATCCAATAGTTTCGAAGAATTTTATAATTTTTGCAGAGTAATTGAATAGTTCCGAGAGTTCAGCGCATTTGTAGTCCCAGGGGAATGCATGGTGGTAATTGTGCCAGCCCTCGCCCAGGCTGATGAATGACACGAACCAGGATTCCACTGGTTGAAGATTCCTGGAAATATATTAGCGGTTTTTTAATTTACTCTATAATATGAATAAAACTGACCACTAACACAATTAGAAACAAACATATTTATTATAAAATTAATTAGTCAGGTTAATAAGTATTTTTTTAGATTAGACGCATACAAACGCTAGTTATTGTATGTACATAATCTCAATATAAATACATAAATTTCATTTCTTATTTTTTTGATTTAATAAAATTTAATTTTTTTTAGATACAAATAATAATATTATAAATACAATTATAAATACAAATGTCAATCCGCAACGTAAGCTTCGTCAGTTAGACACAAATATAAATCAGTAACAGGCTTTGTCACATAAAATCAATAATGCAATTCGCCAGACTTAGTTATCTTTATCTAACTATAACATTACCGCTTTTAAAATTTGGTTGCTATCTTGTTAGTATCTATCTTGTAACATCAAAATTAAATGTTGATATAAACGTATGCGCACACAAATGCAAGCACGCTCACGTGCGCGTATACACGCACATACCCATATACACGGACAGGCACACGTACGCACACACCGACACACACAAACACACACGCACACTCCCACACACGTCATAAAAATATAAATGTAGGTAATCTCTATTTAAATTAAACAATACGCCAAATGGTTGTCTGAAATGGTGAGAAGCGTCTTTTTCAAAGGGTCCTAATCGAATACCAGCGTCGTGGTCAACTGCGGCATTTATACTGAGCCAGTGCCTTTTCAGTGCCATGATTTTCCAAAATGTTTATTTTACTTTAATTCTATGTAAAATTGTACGTTCCTTCTGCTATTATTTTTAAGTGGTTTAATACAGTAAATATAGTGTTAGTTTTAGTTGATCCTAGTAAATAAGTTGTCATGGAAGTGAATAAAGTTTTTATCTATCTATCTAACCTTCAAACTCTCCCTTCCCAAACTAACACATTAAGTGGTAGGAGCTATGATAATCACCAAGGTAATTTTGTACTAACTTATCGTAAGGTCTTGTGCCCCAGAGATGCGCAGCGCTGTTGACGAGCCATGTACCATTGAGCTCGAAGATGTAGCGGAAAACGTAGACGAAGAGGATAGAGTTTAGCCAAGATTCACCAAAGAAATAAACGGGCACCCACGCAGGTATTAGGATAGCGAAAATTAAGTACAAATAGTAATAGTATCTGAAATATAACAAAGGAATTGTTTATCGACTACATCAATAAAAGTAATACAATATAATCTTTACAATAAATTCTAATGAAATTACTTTTTCTGAAACATAACCATCCAGTCAGCTTGTAAGTCAGTCATATCGATTCTTCTCCCAAGCTCAATGACGTAGGGATGTTTTTTCGACATGAGCCAGCCGATATGGCAGAAGAAAAATCCACGCTTAGAGTTGTGAGGATCACCGTCGGTGTCGGAGTAGCGGTGGTGGAGGCGGTGATCACGACACCAGATGAACATTGAGTTCTGAGAAAGAAAATGCATTACGAAAACTAGAAGTAGAAAGAGATATACATATTTCTATGAACTAATACATAGTTATGTGTTCCAGTGAAGGTACATATGAAGACTCAGCGGTGCCCAAGAGTTCTCCCTACTATGCTAATACTGCCTTGTTTTATAGAAAGAAAGGTGCATTACAAATACTTATAGTAAAGTGTTGTGGTAATTTGTAGTAGTTACCTGTCCTGCCATGGTTTGCATAATTAATAGAATAGCTCTTAAAGCCGGCTTTGCTTTAAAAGTTTTATGCGTATATAATCGATGAGCACCTATTGTAACGCCCTCTGTAGCTAACAATAGTACGATTACGACTGGAAAATAGAAGTAATACATGTTCGTTAGAAAGTTTATTGTAAAATTACAGAAATCATCAAAGAAATTTAGGTTTTACTTACACCATATAAATGTTTTGAACGTTATTCCTCCAGTAAGAGCAATGGCCAGGCCCCATAAGCCGAGTATATGTAAAATTAAGAATCCAATGGCGTTTATCCATACTATTTCATGTTTGTACGAATAATCTGTTCCAATACATTTTGCGTTTATGATTGTATCAAGGTTATTGGTCACGTGATGTTCTCTTTTGGTAATATTATTCGAATCCCATTCGGTTTCAGATGATAAAAATTTCTCTGGTGACACAGTCATTTTTGGTTTTCGATTTTTTGTAATTGATCTAACCCCTGACGCTCACTGCTGCCTTAGCAATATTTTCTGTATATATAAGGGTAATTGGTTCTATTGTTCACATAGTTGCAAAATAAGAACTTGAACTTAGTTTTGTATGTAAAATTCTATTGGTAACGTATTGAGATTCGTGCATATACAGTATAGTATATTTATATTTATATTACACACTTATAAACTTTTAACTGCCTCTGTGGCCGAACGGTTACCATGCCGGACTGCCACGCAGAAGTCCCAGGTTCGATTCCCGGGCAGGGAGAAATATTTGTATGACCTACATTTATTTCTCTCGTGAGTTTGGGTATAATCAGTGGTTGTATATGTGTGTGTCCATGGCACCCGCAGGACAGGGTTTCCCTAGTACTATGTTGAGTATGTGCGTTATTATTATATTAGTATATTTATACATGTATGTATTCTTCTTTATTTATTATTTAGTCACAATAACAGTACTCTAACCATGTACGATAGGTACTTAACTCTAATACTATAACCATTGGTCGGAATAGATAGACTATATTTACCAAAACTTTGAGGAACAGAGACGGAAAATTGGAGACTTCCGTAAGACAACATTTATTTGTTCCGGACTTTTTCGGGATTCGGGACATCCCTCAAGTATACAGTAAAAAATTAAAGTAGGGTATGTATAGGCATAGGGTAGGTAGACTATATTTATCTAAACTTTGCGACGAGTTGTTTGACTTTGAGACCACTTTTCGGAGTATTTAAGAAAATTTCGATAAAATGAATTCTTAGTTACTACTTGCAATCAGAATTGTTAAGTATTTATTTCAAACATACCGTTGACTTATGGACATTCCTCCGGGATCCTAAAACTATCGCATCGACTCTTTGTGTACCTACTTCTATGTATATGTTTTAACTTTCTGAATCGATTTTCATGTCATATTATAAAAAAGACCATTGTGGTAAGATTATTTCGCTCTAGACTCGGTCATATATCTATCTATTATGGGAGCGGGACTGCGATATTGCGCTCTCTCTCTCTCTCTCTCTCTCACTTACCGATAAGGTACGAGCAGGTACTGACCTTTTGTTAAATAAACAATTTTATAAACAATAGGCCTCTGACTAACAACCATAAAAGTTACTAAAGCAGGTAACGACTTTCTTGGTTTCTACAGTACAAAGAAAGACAGTTATATCGCGCTAGGAAAAGGAAATGTAAGGAAGCCGTATCCTTCACTTCCCAGCTCGACATCGTTTACTATATCGCTTTAGTAAACGATATTTCTGTACGACACAACGAAATAAGCCAAACTATCTTACATATATGAATAATAGAGCGAAGCCAAATTATCTTAGTGTAAGCAGCAAAGCACCCACTCTAGTCTTCTTGGTCTTGGAGTACGCAAGTGTTTTACTTTGTGGATCCTTTGTTTTGAACCTGACTTTTAATAATGGACTACATTCTGCTTCTCCTGACGTATTTGGCTTGAACTCGCGGATACTGTTTTCCCCCTGTATAGAAAACTGGCAAGATTTAATATTGAAAGTATATAAAAAGAGTTTATTGCTAATATTTGCTTATTTTATTCACGTGACATTTTTTACATGCCACTTGTTTATCATACGACAGAAAAAAGTCTCAGAACTTATTTGCAATAACTTTATTTAGGTCACATTATTTAAACTATTTTAAACTGTATTTATTTTGCTTTTGTTGTTTTTATCAACTTTAAGTGTATTTGTATGGAATTAATTTGCCTATTTATAATGTCCAAACTCATTTGTTTTCTTAGAAAAAGAAATGCAGTTTTCAAAAAAATATTACACGCGATAACTAAGGTGTTTACAAAGATTTGATGCAACCGACAGACTTAGGATCAATAATACGTTTGGAATACACATCTTAATAATTCTAATTACATGTATTGAGTCAAACTATTTTTTTATTCATAAATAATCCGAAAATTTGGTGATTGCGAAGTTTAGATAAACAAAGTCTACCTACTTATCCCAAATAACGTTAATTTTTAATGTACTTAAGTAATGTTCCGAATACCAAAAAAGTCGGGAACAAATAAATGTTATTGGAAGTCGACAATTTCCGTATCTGTAACTCGAAGTTTAGGTATAGTCTACCTATTCCGACCATTGACTATTGACAACAAGCTATTGAGCACAACATTGAAATGAAATAGATTGAATGAAATATCCTATTTAGAAATAAAAATGAACTTTTATGAAATTTTAAAAAAGACAACTTCGAGAAAATCATAAATAAAAAATCTACAAAAGATAAGAAAAATTAATGCACATTGAAACATACTGTGAGACCTCAAAAATGCCATAAATGATTTTAAAGATTAGTGGAATATACTTACCTCAGTGCTAACCTTATTATAATTTCTGCACATACGAACAACGGTTAATTGTACAACACGTTGTATGTTGTTACTGGCAAATGAAAAAGTTTTTGCGTGCGGTAGTTCCTAATCATGAACCGAACCTGATCTAACAATTCACTAGTATCCTACACTGAGTTAACTAATTTATACCATAATACGGCAAAGCTGTACGAAGAGCATCTACTCTCTAAGGTGTCAATTTTAAAATACCTTAACCTATCTTCATATGATGAAAGCCCGTAGGCTATAATCATATGAAGATTGGGTCTTGAGACATTTAAGTACTAAAATGGGTTTAATACGTATATCAGACTCATTTTAGTACTTATATGTCTTTTGAATCGCTTCTGTAAAGATGCGATCCTATTTTTATGTTGATCGTAATATGGAGACCAAATCACTGAACAGTAGATACTTCAACACACTTCGTATCAATGCATTAAATAAAACAACAATGCTGCTTGGATTTCTGAATGGCTGCACCTCATTTGAAAACCCATAGTTTTATTACACTTTTTTAAATTAAATAGTATAAACTTTGACACTGGTCATAATGCTGTGTAAAAGAGAGATTGGACTCAATCCACACTTCCGCATTTTTTATTACTGTCTCGCGTTTTAATTCCACGTTATTTATACTAGAAGAGCAAAGAATCGCTCCATCGGAATACTCTCCGACAGTATGTCAGTATTTCAAGCACTGAGCACTTATGACATTAACACAGAGCTTATTTATGAATGCGATCAAGCACTCATGGAGGTATGTGTACACAAACATGTTACTGTACAGTGGATTAAAGGACATAATATGTTTCTTCTATAATAATGTCATAATAATAAAGATAATAAATAAATAATGTACAAAATCTTCTCATAATAAACACGAACAACCCTTACGGTTTATAGACAGCAACGCTCAGCGCCATCCAGAAAATTAATCAAACTTAAAAAGCAAGAGCTTCGCACTCTAATTGCCGCCGTAACGATTCATGGTCAACGCAATAACCACCTTTTCAATTTAATTATCACAAACAGCCCTCTATGCACCTGTGTGGCCAACTACGGGACAAAGTACCTTGGAGTGCCGAGGTCGCTCCCCGAAGTCTTCAGCATACTGGGGAGGAGGTTGCTGAGATTCCTGAAGAAGCTTGGGTGGCTCGAATAGGACCCTGCATCCACCACACGCAAAATTGGCGCCTGACATCGAGTTGCGGACACCAGGCCGTTACATCAAGTACCAAGTAAGTACTAGGTACATTGTATAGGGTTTTTTTACGTGTTAATGTTAGTAGATGACACTTGCTAACTTTAAGCGACATATTATTGTTTCGACACCAATCTGAAAACACTTCAACTTTCTTACATATTACTTTATTTTTTTACATATTATTTGTTAAAAAGAACAACTGTGTCAGCAATTTCATTAGAAATAATTAAATAGCTTATAGACAACAGTAGAACAAAAAAACATGCTTTGCCATTTAAATAAGAATTGAAATTTATTTATGAGCTTGATACTTGAGATTTCAATACAACTCTATGCTGCTTAGGATAACAACGGTTCAGTGTCTAGATTATTAAGCAGATATTGAGGATCAAAGTTTTTTTCAGTTTTTTTTACTACTAAAACTATTTTATTTTATTATATTTAAACTTAATTTCTAAGCAAACCAGGCATTTAAAATACAAAAATAATAAAATTACAATTAATATCCAACACACACATGATGAGACCGACAATAAGCAATGCAGTGCACACATACAAATGAACGCTTGATCTAGTTGTGCCCTAAGTGCCAACGAACTTAAGGTTCATTCAGAGTGCAGGCGCGGGCGCGCGGGTCTTGGCGTCTGCCCTTTCACAGAGCCGAAGCGACTAAAATCGTTAGATCCACACGTCGAAGTTACAAACAGACACTAGACTATGCACTGTGAATAGTAAAGGCGGACGTAGCCAATAGATCACACGAGCCGTCGCGCCCGCACCCACCTCACAGGTGAACGCAACGAGCGTCTACGTACATTTGACTCACACGCGCCCGCGCCCGCTCCCGCGCCCGCCGCCACTATGAATAAGGCCTTAGACGTGAGCGCTCATTTGTGATACTCAGCACGTCTAAAAACTAAAAACTAAATAAACTTAAGTACAGGGTATTTTATTTTGTCTTTAATAAAATTGTAATACAGAAAATTAGAAAAACGAACTGAATTTCGACGACAGACGCGCACACTGCTTTAGAGGGGTGCGCAATAGGCACATGGGTGGCGACGGAGATTCAAATCTCACCTGGATTTTTTTTGCGCTTTGTTCGTTGATGTCACGTTATCTACGTTTACCGTTGCGTAGTGTTTCTATTTTCTGTGTTAAGTGTTGTATGAAAAGACCTTACGAAGTAGTCTTGGCATTCAGTCAAAGTCAAAGTCAAAGTCAAAGATTATTTATTCCATAGGTAAAATAAATTTACACTTGAAAACGCCACATTTAAGCTACTGCTCGTTCACTACGCTGACCTCCCTGAATAGAACGAGTAAGAAACTCTAGGGATTGCTCTTTTCAAATAAACTTAAATGGTATGGAATACGCTTTGAATCAAATTTGTGTGGATTCTGGAGCCATGTCGTCTTTCCATACATCTTTATCTAACACGTAGTCTTCAATTTTGTAATATGATTTATCGATCAAAATATTTTTAATGTAGTTTTTAAACTTAGGAAATGATAAACTTAATATATGCTCCGGAATCTTATTGTAAAAACGTATACAGTTCCCCATAAAAGAGTTGTTTACCTTGGTTAAACGAAATCGTGGTACCATGAGTTTGGATTTTGCTCTAAGGTTAATATTATGGATATCTTCTTTCTTATTTAAATTATGTATATTTTTACGGGCATATAAAATATTTGAGTAAATGTATTGTGATGCCACAGTCATGATACCAGTCACCTTAAACTTTTCTCTGAGATAAACCCGAGAGCCTAGACGGTACACAGAACGAATCGCTCGTTTTTGCAATACAAATATGGTTTGAATATCTGCCACTTTACCCCACATGAGAATCCCGTAGGACATTATACTATGGAAGTAACTAAAGTAAACTAGTCTAGCAGTACTAACATCGGTAAGCTCACGTATTCTGCGGACTGCGTATGCAGCGGAGCTTAATCTGCTGGCCAGGGAAGATATATGTGGAAACCATTGAAGTTTACTATCTAAGGTCACTCCCAAGAAGACTGCTTTATTAACAAAGTCTAACTTTTCTCCGTTTATTTCTATGCTTGGACTAGTCGATTTTACGTTAAGTAATTCAAATTTAACACATTTTGTCTTCTTGGCATTAAGCAAAAAAATGTTAGCATTAAACCAATAAACTACCTTAGAGAGGGTAGCATTAATATGGTCATACATAATGTCATGTTTGTCTGTTTTAAAAATCAAGGATGTGTCATCAGCAAACAACACTATTTCGTAATGGTCCTTAACAAAGAATGGCAGATCATTAATATAAATCAGAAATAAAAAAGGCCCAAGCATTGAGCCCTGCGGAACACCCATTTTTACCGGAGAACCCAAAGAAGTCACACCATTTATGTCTACTTTCTGAATTCTACCATTGAGATATGACGAGACAAGTTTCGACGCCTTGCCATTTACACCGTAATGTTCCAGCTTCCTAATAAGAGTAATATGATCAACGCAATCAAATGCCTTTGAGAGGTCACAGAAAACACCAATAGCGTTCTGGGACCTTTCCCAAGCATCAAAGATGTGTTTTAGTAACGCTACCCCCGCATCCCTAGTCGATCTACCACTAGTAAACCCGTATTGTTCACTATGAAAAATATGATTCCTACCGAAATAGGGCAGTAATTGAGTCAGCATAACCTTTTCGAATATTTTACTTAAAGCTGGTAAAATAGAAATGGGCCTATAGTTGCTAGGATCAACTTTCCTACCACTTTTGAATAAGGGAATAACCTTGTGTATTTCATTAAATCGGGAAAAACACCTTTGTCAACGCACCTATTGAAAGCTACAGCTAAATGTGGGGAAATTAGATCAATAACTAAGTCTATAGCTTTAGTTGGTATGCCCCAGATATCTTCAGTTTTTTTAACATGTATTGATTTAAAGGCTTTTATGATGTCTTGTGGATTAACATGACGGAAATTAAATAAACTGCCACAAGTTAGTGCCCGCGACTGTGTGAACATGGCTCATGGCAATATCTCAGAGGTACTTAGACTTCACGGGATTATACATCCGAGAGCATTATAGTACCATTCTCGATAGGATGTGAAAAAACCCACGCTTGGAAGTGCGAACGGCAGTCAAAGTTTACCAATCTAATGAACACTACGCTACCGTAATTTTTGTACCTGGGGGCTACTCTCAATCTCCGTCCGACATCCGCCCGAAACAATTGCTGCCAAATAAGCAATACTTGAAATGAAAAGACGCGTGATGCGAATGAAGCTTCATACTTGATACTTGTCTTTTAATTTTGTTGAGTGTTACTTATTTGACTGTAATTGTTTCGGACGGATGTCGGACGGAGATCGAGAGTAGACCCGCCTGTTCTGTTTTTATTTTGTTTTTGTTTCTTTATTTTTTCATCAAATTCCTTTTTCTGTTTTTTTTGAATTTTGTTTTTTATTTGTGCCTTTTTCAAAAATTCTGGGAGCATAATATTAGTTAATAAATATGTTGCTGTTTAAAAAAATAAAAAAACTGACCATAAAATAAAGTTGACGTAGTGTTCATTGGAGCCATAGCGCTCGGTACGTACTCGATCAGACTGAACGCGGATTGAAGACACTCACACTCATGCACTCTATTACACGCGTTACATTGGGCGTCATAAGTAACAGCCGTTTTTTAATACTGAGGTGTTAAAAAACGGCTTAATGTGTTTTAATTTAATGTACACAATGCGTATATTTTGAATTTGTTGAGGATGTTTTTACACCGTGTATAAATGAGGAAGAAATCGCAAGTATTTCCCAACTATGTATTTCAAAAATTTATTTCAATAACGAATTAACGCGAAAGGTAATAAGTGATATTTATCAAGTATTATAAAATTATGTATGTACATTTTTAAACATTTAGTATCAATAATAATACTGAAAAACATAATGATATAAGTCATAAGGCGTTTAGGTGTTAGGTAGCGAGATTTCCATAATTCAGATGAATTCCACGAGATGCAAAATTTGACAATTGGTGGATTTAATTTTGTTAACTGCTTTGCCGTAGACGCAAAGTGTGGAAAGAAAAAGAAGAAGCCCTTGCAGCCGATGTCAGTACTGAAGTTGTCAAATGTAATAACAAAAAATACCTAAAGTACTTGCTTAAACTTCCTAGTCTGCTTGAAAACTCCCAAAAACATAGGTGTATGATACGTGTAGCTAAACCTGGACAGGTATGCACGTCAAATAAATAAAAATAGTCTGAAAAAAATTGCAAAAATTATACCAGTGGACATGCCACTGTGCAAAGCTAGCTAAGTGTTCAATCAAATCAATTATTTACATGCGTTAGCATATCAACCGCACCAAACCACACAATCGTTATAAAAGAAAAAAACATGAAAAACTGATTAATTCAATTAAAATTTCAATTCCAAATGCTATTGCTACAACAGTCGTTTGCGCTACGATGTGAATATAAGATTTTAATTAAAATTTGCGCGTGCACTGGAGTTTTATTGCCGATATAAACACGATCCGATATATTGATGATGATGGTTTTTTTCCCAAAAAATTACGTGAACCCAAATACGCCTATAAAATGAAACAGATTTGGTTTATACTTTGTTTAGGAACCATATTGGTGAGTAAAACAATAATAACATGCATTAGTTTACTTAATGATGTGTGTATTTATTGATATCATTACATAAAAAAAATTTGTGGAACAGGTAAATGGACAAAAAGTGAACAGGTCATGTGGTGAGTAAGGAAAAAAAAAGAATTGAAAATGGGAATTTAGAAATGTTAGGTTCTGTTTATAAGTATTTCATGTAACTTCAAGCGGTGACGAGGAAGAATAAAAAATGCAAATTTACATGTTACAAATTACAATCGTTTCAATTCTAATTTCGTTAAATTTGAGGCAAATAATTCCGTACCACTAAATTCCAACGCGCGACTTAGTATTGTACTTAAAATGACGAAGGGAATTATTTAAAACTTATGCTTGATTGTGTTTTAGAATGTGGCGTAGCTGGCAGCAACAGGCGTATAGTAGGTGGTACTACAGTACAGCCGCATCAGTATCCATGGCTCGTATCTCTGATGTTGGGTCCAAAACTGCATTGTGGAGGGGCCATTATAACCGACATTCATATTCTCACTGCTGGCCATTGTATCACGTTTGGGTTAGCATTATTTTTTTAAGTAAACACATTTACGTTGAGTCATTGAAACTATAAAGCGCTAATTTGCTATTGATTATCTTCAAAACTCCAAGGCACTATTTTCTTGTACAGTGTTGCTTTTCAGACACATTTCATATACACTAATTTTGCCATTTTCCGCAGAGTTCACTATCGAGACTTAACAGTAAACGTAGGGATGCATGATAGATTGGATACATCATTTCAAGTTCTTAGAGTGACAAATGGTGTTAAGCATCCTGAGTTCACTTCAAACGCAGTAAGGGACATCAACGATATAGCAATTCTGACGTTAAATAAAAAGCTCCATTTTTCTGATAAAGTGCATCCCATATGCTTACCTACTGCAGGTAAGAAAATAAAATCAGCTGTTATTATTTGTGTTAATTACAACTGCTTTCGTTTGAAATCCTGACTTACCTACTTGCTAACTTCACAAGAGAAACTAATAAAATCAGGTTGGTTAATTCATCCACCGTGTATGGACATACTGTTAGATATTCACATTCATGAGAACTTAGTTACTAAGATCAACTAAAACTAACACTATCATTAGTACATTGAACCACTTACAATAAAAAACAAATTTTAGTAATAAAAGGAAAGTACGTCGTAGTAAGTCATGGCAGTGAAAAAGCGCTAGTTTATCATAAATGCCGCAGTTTTCCACGACTCTAGTATTCTGCTTTAACCCTGTTGACACTTCTATTCACAGATATGGATTTTAAAAACTTTGCCCTAACTGTGGCTGGTTGGGGAAAGACACGCCAAGGTGCTATGACGTCATCGAGATATTTACTTGAAACTAAAGTGAAGATGGTTGATGGTGAAAAGTGTCGGAAATCAGCGATATATAGAGATAATCTTGTCACCGACACAATGATGTGTGCCTACAGCCTGGGCAAGGATGCTTGCCAAGTAAGTTTTAATTCACAGAAGAAAACATAGATTCAGAAATGTACATAAGTTGTATATTGATCATGCCTAACGGACATGAAAAATAGTGCATCGTTTGCCAATAACAGTAACAACTTAAGAAATGATCTGTCAAGGCATGTCAACTTCAACTTTCTGGTCCGTGCTTTCAGTGCATATGTTTACTTTGAAATGTTAGTAAATTTTGTACCAACGGTTTAAAAAAAAGGACTTAATGACGAGTCGTTCATTATGAGAAATCAATTTCATTTTCAAGTTTAAGTTTAGTTGAATGTTAGAACTTAATAAAGAACAAGTTTACGACACCGTTCTCACTTTCAAGCTTTCTCAATACAAAACGGATTACGAATAAAATAGCCAAACGATAAATTTCACTGTGTTTTCCAATTACGTATACTAAATTAATTATTTATTTTGAAAAACCTCTTACAACGTTTAACTTGAGGCTCAGTTTTAAGCTGCATTCGTTTGATTTTCCTAGCAGAAAAAAACTGAGTTACGCAAGTTGCGTCCATATTTATAATTTATTACTGCTTCGGTCCATCGAATTCTTTATAGAGTCGAACGTAGCGAATGCTTGATTATGATTACTATTTTTAATTTCCCCAAGCTATTGTAGAAAGTTCATAAAATTTTGTATGTACATCCGAATCTAATTCGTTATTAGTCGATAGTAATTGTAATTTCTTTAATGCCGCACAGGGCGATAGCGGAGGTCCCCTGTTTGCTACACATTCACGAACGACCAACAGAAAGTGGTACCAAGTCGGTGAGTATCTTTAGTAACAAGCTGAAGGAAACAGGCGTTACATCTTGTATTTAATACTGTAGCAATAAAAATTCAGATGTCAAATGTCAGTCAATGAAAAAAATTAGGATATGTTTCAAAGAAAAAAAGCATGGTAACTAATACGACTAATTTATTTATGTTTAAGGTATTGTATCTTGGGGTATTGACTGTGCAATGCCGGATTATCCAGGTAAGACTTAACACGGGGTTACTCTATGTCATAAAAAGGTAAAAGATTCAATCACAGTCCACCGGCCCGATGTACCCACGTGGGGATTTCATATTATTTGAAAGAGTTGTGATAATATTCTTCGCTAATCTACCTGCATCACCAGTAAGGTCAACTTTTTCATATTGGACTTTAATTCAAGTGTTATTTGTTAGAATTTACAATAAGGACATTTGGAATTATTGTTTCACATTTAGGTATTACTGTCTAGTAGTGGTTTTTTTACAAAACTAATGCATCTGAAATTAATGCTATTATTTATAGTAGTGAAAATTCATAAATGAGGCACTGATTTTTAATTTTCTCTTTCGGCAGGCGTGTACACCATCGTGAACAAGTACATCGACTGGATCAAAGAGCAGACAATCGATGGAATGTATTGTGTTTAAGCGTTGACCATAAATAATAAAAACTAATCAAATTTTACACCACCAATTTTTATAACCACCTTTGTATGTTTCGATAAAAAGTAATTTGAAACGATCAGGGACAATCTTTTCGATTTGCGTCACGTGCCGTAACGCCAAATAGCCGAATGGCGGACGTGTCGATAAGAAAATGGTAGTTATTTGTAAAGGAAATTAAATTTTCCGGTCAATAATAATGTTTATGTTCATTTATACACATGTGTTCAATAGTGTTCTTAAAAATGTTTTGTTCATATAATTTCTTTGAAATAAACTGTTGTTTTCTTATATAAGTAAATAAAAAAAACTGTAGTGTACCATAGTGTAAACAATAAATTGTAGCTATAGAACGAAGTCAACGATAACAAAGCATATAGGTAATAAAGAATCAGTGAATTTAGAATAAAAAATAAATGTAGTTTATCGATGAGGAACGCAGGATTACAACTTACTTCATGTCAAACCCAACATCATTATCGCGTGGATAATTTCGTTGCATTAGTTGCTTGTGCGGAGCGTAAATAGTGCCAAGAAACTCTTTCGAAAAACAGTCTTGTGACCGATCTTCGTGTGAGTGTAGTGCCTTACGCCTGACAAAGTATGCTCTATGTATGCAGTGCTGTTTTCTTTTTCTTTGGAACTCTTCAGGTTTGTACATATTTAGCCAAGGCCTGGATGGCGCTTTATGTGTAAAAGTAGCTAAAACGATATAATATGTTGTAGGTGGAGCGTGTAAACGCGGCGGATTGTCGTAAGTACTGTAAGCTTAAAATTGTAACGTTAAAACACAAGTACAAACAATTTCATAGACATCCTTCAATAACATAGTGGTACATAAAAAGAAACAGTTTATGTTGCATTAAATATGGCAAAATAGAAAAAGACAACCTCTACTAAATTGTCAGGCTGCTTTCATTTACAACACAAATAAGATCAGAAAGGCGGACAAAGTCGGATTTTATTTTTGAGATTTGGTTTTCAATAAAACGACGAAAGATTGAAATTGTTCTTAAAGACTTAAATCGTGTTAAAAATAAATAAATAATATATATTTCAGGTGAAACTTACCTATACAATGAGAATTCTCATTGCTTGTTTCCGACGAAGTGACGTGAATGGATACGTCGGTACTTATCTTCAAAAATGTCGGTAGTTGTTCAAGGCCAAGGCACCTTTATTTTCACGCATGGTTTGGTTTCACATTGATACGCAGTGGCAATATTTAATATTTCTATGTTATCTAACGATCCATCAATAACGGCGGCAATTGTTTGTTAACATTTATGAACATACTCCATTACACTACAACACGTAAAAATGGCATGTATTTAAATGATACTTTTAAATTTCCAAAAGCAGCAGCCAAAAAAATCTAAACGGTCATCTTTTTTTAGTGATTGATCCTTTTTCTCTGAGACGTGAAATAAATTAAATCAATGAATATTTTAATCTGTTCTGAGCTACGCAAAAAAATGTTTGATTTGTATAAATTACCTTTGATCGTTTTATGTTGGGCCTCAAAACTCAGACAAATGAGCATTAAATATAAAATTTAGAACACTTATTTTTAAAACTACGTAAATATTGATTTTATTTGTATATTAATGTTATATTAATTATAACATAATTTGACCTGAAAACGTGCTCGGAATAGCAAGCAAAAAGACTTCTGGCACTCGCAGGCCGCTGCCGCGAAACGCTCGCTTCGCACGCTCGGCTCGTGCTTCTTTTTCATATACTAACCTAGCCTAACTTACTGAATGGCGCAACCAAGCAACCAAGATGTATTAAGGAGATTAATATCAAAATAAGTACTGGTTATAGAAGTCATCAATCGTTAAAAGAAAAAGCGTATTAAAAAAATGATCAAATATTATTTATAATATTATTATAAATATCAAATATAATTTTGTATGCTTAAGCATAATGGTAGTGTTACCTTGAATGCAGTTCATTTATAATTTATCCGTAGATCAACTAATGTAGACGGAACAATTAATATATATATCAAACATAAAAAAATATCCTGTATTTAAAAAAGTGCCCATTTATAAGGTGTACCAGAATCTGATGGCACTTAGACAAATTTAAATTTGTAGTGGGCATTTATTTTATTGACCAGATGAGTGATCTATCCTCGTACATGTTTTGTGATCTGTATGAATTTGTGTGTGAGAAAGGTAAGTAATTTCAGACACATTTTAAAATTAAACAAAAATATATCAATTACATTGCGGGTGAGAGATTTATATTAAGTTTACAGTTAGGAGTTACTCGCATTTACGCCATTTATATTTTTTTAACAATCATTGTCTTGGTGATTTGGCTTCTTTAAAATTTCAAAAATTAGATTTATTTACTCCAAGTTAACATTGCCAGGTGAAAGTCGTTCGAGTTCTCTAATATTTAATGCCATGGGATTCTGGTACCATCTATGCAATAGATCAATTACGCTCAAAGACGTATCATATAATATTATTCCCTTCAAAATTAATAACGTGTCTCTGCGAAAACCGTTTTGGCAGTTCCATTCCATTGTAAATATAGTGTGGGTTTACCATTTCAGTTATCATCAAATCTAGTCTCTTGTAAACTTATTCATTTGTAACTAACAGAATGTGGCAGACCTGCAGAGTCCATCGCAGCAGTGAGGATAGTAGGGGGTAGAAGAGCGGAACCACATTCATTCCCTTGGACAGTCGCTATTCTTAAAAACAATCGAATGCACTGTGGTGGTGCAATCATTACAAATAAACATGTACTTAGTGCGGGCCATTGTTTTAAATGGTAAGTTTATTTTCTTAGCTACTTTACATCTAATTACTAGATTAGAAACTTAAGTTAATGCAGTGTAGTATAAATCGTAAAGTACGCGTCCATCTTATGTATTCACTATGTTTTTCCAAGAACGACTACGTATAGCCCAAAATAATGTATTCGTAAATTTCAGGGATAATTTCACTAATATGGAAACGTTAATTGGGTTAGACACTTTTGACGATTTGAGCAACGTTGCAAGAAGACGAATAACAAATGTGGTCATTCATGAAGACTTTACAACGACGCCTGTTCGGGACGAAAATGACATTGCAATAGCGACGTTGAACGAGCCCGTAAAGTTCAGTGAAATCATTGTACCCATATGCTTGCCTGTAAAAAGCAAGTATATACTTCCTACTATTTTAGAATTGATAATTAGTTTAGATGTCACTAAAAAGACACCGTACAGGGTATTTTGTGTTCCGTCTATAATAATAATATAATTGATGTTTATACCCCTATGAAATAAAGAAAGCAAACAACTGTTACATAATCTAAACAGACAAACCGTTAGAGGCTTACTAAGACGAGTATTAGCAACAACCAATTTTAACACTATATTAAGTTTTATAAATATTATAGGGTTATCAAAATCCATAAAACTATATAAAATTGTTTGCGTGGTTATTTTTATGTAGGCTTGAGACGACTGTAGCGTCTTTATTTTTAATTTTATAAAAAAATATAGTGCGGATTTTACCTCTATCTAACATGACGAAAAGGGACGATGAGGACGACGATGGGGCATGCAAACATAAGTAATGCCTACTAATACTTTTGCCTTGAAAAGGCCCAAGTTATAGTGTTCAGGGAAAAAGTTTGCAGGTAGGGAATTCCCATCAAAGCCGTTCGTCATATAAATGTGGAAGCCAAACGGTTCGTGCGAATCCTTGGAATGTCCACTACATAGGGGTGGAACCTCAGCCTACATCTAGTCCCCCGATGATGGAAAGGGAAAAGCGGAATTAAATTGTGCGATTCCATCGCACTCTCCGTGATATATCCTGTAGAATACCGATAAGCAGGCAATTTTACGGCGGTGTTCCAGCCAGCTTGGCCTGTGCTAAAGAGAAAGTATTAAGTCAAATCCAAACGATCACGGACTCTCGACAATGCTGGATCTCTTCTCCACTAACTTTTGCATTTGTCAAGTACCTATCCACAGCTGTGTTATCATCTGCACATTTAAAGATACCTGGAGTTAACACACGTTGTTCATTGATGTCCAGCTGAAACAGAGTTGCGGACAGTACGGAACTCTGAGGAACTCTATATCGCCGGATGTTCATTATATACTTATTTATTTATTGTAATACGTCATATCCTTCATATTTAGCGCGCACGCAAAAAGATTGTTTTCTTATTTTGAATGCTAACTAATCAAACTTAATGACGTTTGGAGACACGATCTAGAGAGTGTAACATTTAGTAATGAATATTAACACTGGCGATGATCGCCACAATTTTTTTATAAACTGACACTGGCCCAAGTCACACCAAGCCGTGTGGCCGCCACAAAGGAAATAATAAGTAACATTAAAGTTTGTGGTATGACAATTTCCCGATAAATTGTGTAGCATCGAAATAAAACGTGCTTAAATGCTTGTAATGTTCGACCAAAAGATCTCGACTATGGTTTTGTCTATCTCCTAACGGTAATGAAATATATTGTTAGTATACGAACATTTTCTAAATATTTCAGAACAAGACTTCACGGGTTTATCTGGCACAATAGTGGGGTGGGGCCGAGTGGGTGTGGAGGCGTCATCTTCAAAAGTTCTCTTGAAAGCTAGTTTACGACTTCTATCGGACGAGGAATGCATGAATTCTAATTTAAAGGAGCATTTGAAACCAACAATGATGTGCGCCTTCTCGAAAGGAAAGGACGGGTGTCAGGTACGCTGCTATTTTTACACTCCAATATTTGTGATGTTTTTACAGATTTCAGTCATTCACTAAGACAGGCTTTATAAATGGAAACACGTCTAACATTATTCATGTAGTCAGTAATGGATTAATATATTTGACGTAGATTTGGTTTTGAAAATTGTATAATATGGCAAAAGATCGATTATTAATCGCAGAGATGAAGTGCTGTACAAGTGTTAAACTAAGCCACCCTAACTATAATACGGCGAGTGTCCAATTTTATTAAATCCGTCCATAAGGCAGATATATTGAATGGATTTTCTATAAAATCGAAGTCGACTAGGTAGACGGTATAGGCATTTAATTTAACATTAAATTAAAATTTGCAATGTACAAAATATAAGGTGTTCTACTCTTTTAGTGGTGAAAAAATTTAAGGTCACTGGGTAGCGGTTGCAAAATCTTTATTGCCATAAAGAATGGATATTATTATTATTCATTATTTGTTACTTTGCAATGTACAAAGTATAACGTGTAAGCTGTTCTTTTAGTGGCAGTAAATATTCTTAGGTCACTGGGTAGCGAGTTGCAAAATCTTTACAGTCATAATAACGCATATTATTATTATTCTTATTTTAATTTGCAATGTACAAAATATAACTATGTAATCCTATTCTTTCAGGGCGACAGTGGCGGTCCACTATTAGTGTTCGAGCCAGTCGGAAAATATGTTCAAGCAGGTAACTATAATAAACACGTATGGCAGATTTGTTCTGCTGTAGCTTTATCTACACGTGTTTTATTTACGCTACAGTTGCGTTATGAATTTATGACTAGGAGGCAGGTAGCAAACGTGACAAGCATGAGATGATGTATGGTGATTGGTGTATCGTGTCAATTATTAGAGAAGGCAGAATAAAAGAAAGAAACATTAGAAAGAATTCTAAGTAGACATGTTTATTCAGTTTCCAATTAAAACGTGTGATTGGTTTTATAATAATTTTGTTTTCTTTTTTATACAACTGAACTCAGATTGTATGGGTACGTGTAATGGTTTGGATGAAACTAATCCTATTATTTTCACGATAGTGAGCTGATCATTTAATTTTTAATGAGTAGTTTTGTTTTTTTTAAAAACATTTCTTATCACTTTAATGATGTTACAAAAGAGAAACTAAACTAAAACAATATTAAAGCAGTGTTAGCCGTAGACAGCCACCTAGTACCTCGTTTCTGTAGACATCAAATTTTTGTAGTCTTTTTTTACGACCTCGGAGGCCTAACGATTTGCACTGCACACGCAGGATGCAGAGATCCCGAGTGCGATTCCCGGTAGGAACAATTTGGGAAATTAACTTATCTAAATTGAAAAAATAGGGTGGTTTGCATTAATATTAGACATAACTGGTTGAAGACTGTACCACCTCAGTCAACCGTGACCATGGGACCTGTAAAGGGCCCGAAACGTCGGTTTGTTTGACAAAACAAATATACGCGATTTAAATCCGGAAAAATAGTTTCATTTCTTATCTAAATTGGTTCTAGTTTGTTACTCTGGTACTCATAGTACATAGTTTGAGACTAGGCAATTGATGTGGTTCTCTGGCACATTATTATAATTATAAGTCAAGACTATTAATTTTTTACAGGCATCGTTTCGTGGGGAATTGGATGTGCAGACCCTAGATATCCAGGTATGTATCACTTAAAGCGTTCATCTACTTGGTGCCGTCTAGAAATATTGAGATCTCAGTATTAGGTGGATAACTCAGTTGCAGTAGAGCTCCATGTAAAAGAGTTCGTCCAGAGAAGTACTGCCACTTTACCTATTTCTGCCACCAAGCAGAAATGTCAGCATTAGGTACTGTGTTCCGGTTTTGAAGGGTAAAGGTACGCGACCTTGATAGCAAAAATGCATAAATAATTTAGAAATATAACAGTTACGTCAACTTTGGCGTGTGGCTTTTAAGAGACAAAAGTGGCAGAGCCTTAAACAAAGCTATCAACGATATTTTTTGTGGTATCAAGTGACGGGACGAACAAATCGTGCCCCTGATGGTAAGCGACACGCCTATTCATGACAGCTTTAAATCTCAAAGATCTGAGGAGCACTGCCTTTGCGCCAGTCGCCCTGACAAGTCCCATGTGATTGTAATTTTACCAGTACCTTTACCCTTCAAAATAAGGTGGCACTTCTCTGGATGATTTTTTTCACAAGGAGATCTACCGCTATTTAATAAGAATAAAATTAGTAGTGTTAAATTTTATTACTTTTAGTTATGTTAATTTTACGCAATAACATCTATGGTAACTATATAAAATTGCACTTTTTTTCAGGCGTTTACACCAAAGTCAGTCACTATATTGACTGGATTCAAAAACATTCGGAAGGCGGGTTAACATGCGATAACAATTAATAGACTAATAATAAAGTTTGTTAGGTTTTGTTTTGTTTTTATTATCATTTCATGAAAACCCTATCTGGCTAATGGCTTGTACACATGGTTGTAACTTGGTTGTGACGGGACGGGTAAGCGACATGCGTGTCCAAAACAGTTGCAGTGCCACTCAGTGCGTTAAATCGCAAAGATCTGAGGAGTACTGTCACTGCGACCGTTATTCTGAGACATGTTGACAAGTCCCATGTGCCTGTAATTTCACCAGCACCCTTACCCTTCAAAACCGTACATTCTAGGAACGAAACAACAAAATGCATTTTTTATGGTTTCAAAGTAATTCAAAATACAACGGTATTTTGAAATTTAATTGTCGAGCATAGCATAGTTAGGTACATAAAAAAAACCATTCCCATTATTTCCATAGTTCCATGGAATATATTTTAACTAACATAGCATCCCTGTTTATCCCTAGGAGGCTAACATCCCTGTTTTGTATAAAAAAGCAATAAAGACATAAATAAAATTAATGTACAGACAAAACTGAATTGCTAATAAGTATTATATGACGCAACAAAATAAATGTAAATGAGCACGCAACATTATTAAAATACTTCCGCAAATGCATAAGTTAATACGTAAGTAGTAAGAGTACCTAAGTAAGAGTGAGTAGGTATTTTGCAACGTAAATATTTCAAGTAGCGGACCTCATAATTAAGTTGTTATTGTCACATTATCGGGCAGGCCTTAGCCTCACTAAACTTCGACCTTAATTTGTTTTTGAATTGTTACAAAGAAACGCTTTTTTAAATCGTATTTTTCTACAAAGCTACATTAGTTCGATTTTTAAATATATTTAAGTTAGACTGAAGGAATATTCGTTCAAGTGTCTTTCTCATGGTCTTATCCTATAAATATTATTCATGACCACTGAATGAATTGCAGCTTTAGAAAGCGGTCTGGTATAATGTGCACCTTTTAATCATACTAAATTAGTCTCGATTGCGATTGACAGATTAACTGATTCATTGACAGAATTGTTCTTCCACTCGGAAGGAACGTGGGTCAAAATCTAATATGAGTTCGTATAGAGTTGGCTCCCTGGTCCAGAGCAAGAGATAAACATCAAACACGAAAAACCTGAAAGGAAGAAATGAAAAGCTTAACTTTTAATAATCTCAGTACAGAGTACTAAAAAAACCGACCCTAAAAGTCGTTCATCCCCTCGATGCCACCCTTAGAAGTGGAAAATTTCCATCAAATTTACATGGGACTACTACCGACATACTCCTTTTCCAACAAAAAAAGGATCATCAAAATCGGTTCACAAATTCCGGAGTCATCGCGTAACATTATAAGTTGTACAAAAAAATACAGTCGAATTGAGAACCTCCTCCTTTTTTTTGAATTCGGTTAAAAACTTGGAATTTCGCTAATAAAATTAAAGTCGTATTTATAGATACAATCGATTACATGATACAAGACGACAAATACATCGATTTTACAAGCAATTATTTATAATATTAATAATATATATTGCGAATGAGCTAGTTATCGAATAAAAATTTTACTATTAGACGTTAAGAAATAAATAAACGTGAAAATGTTAAATCGATTCGATTCGATTTCGATTAGAAACGCCAAAAGTTTCCGGTCGGCCAGTTGTGAATCGCAGTTATGCCCCTCGGAAATTCTCGGAAACACTCGACTCGGAAAAGACGCTGTTGCCGATCGGGAGAGGCAATCAAAATCAAGCTGCAGGTGGAGGTCCATAGTATCTGCCTAACTCGGAGACAGGCGTGATGATGTAGGTATGTAACGTCATCAATAAGGATTTTTAAAAAGAGGGGAGTTATAAGTTTGAAGCATTTGTCTGTGTATCTGAGTGTCAGTTGTCTCGGACATCGTCGCTCCTAAATGGATGAATCGAGATTACATAAACTCTATTTTCATACATGGAGACCGCTAAGAGTTCCAACTCTACGTCGAGGAAATCGTGGATGTCGTTCATGATGGGCTAACGCTAGGCTTGCCAGATACCTACTGACTTATCATTTCCGGGACAATTCTACTAGGGTAAGGGAGACGGCCATCTACTAATAGAACTAATTTTTCAGATGGCCATCTATCTAATATGACGGTCATAACATGGCCGTAACATTATTTTCTTTCATCTTTTGGGAGTTTTTAATACTCATTGAATACTGCCAAAAATTGTACGTTATTCGCCATCAATATTTCGACATTCCTTCGCACGACTACAGCGCTGCGTCTAGGGAACTTCTTTTATGAAAAGGACTTTAGTAAGTTTGTAAAAACAACTTCTAAGTGTTTGGAATCCGGGACAGTAAAGTCTAATTACTGGACACGGGACAAGACGAAAAATTCCGGAGCGATCCCGGATTTCCCGACCATGCAAGCCTAGTTTTTATAGATTTGCCCTGGATTGAAACCGGGCGCGTTTTCTATTTTCTGAAAAGTCTTGTTTCATTTTCATTCTGATTCAAGAAGAGTGCGAGCTTTTTCAAGTTCCTAGCCGCAACAGTCGACTCCAGAAACCTCAGGAAGTTCATTTATACCAAGGCAAAACGAAAATGGTGTGGGCTAGAATTCGCCAGGTTGGAAGAACTGATCTCATTTGGATACAAGGCAATTTGAATGCGGAACAATGCTGAGACTGCATTGTGCAACACCTGGTAATCCCTCACCGACAGCAGCTCGGCCAAGAAAAATGTTTATGCACGATAATGCACGTGCACATACTGCAGGGTTGGTGATGAATATTATGTTCAGCAAATACGATTTCATGTTGTTAGAGTGGCCTCGTGGTCGGCCGATTTAAATTTTTTTGAACATTCATAGGATTTGTTAGGAAGAAAAGTATTCAACTAAACAACTAAAATTTTAGTATGTCACGCCGTTGTAGAGAAGTCGCTAATGCCTTGGGAGATCCGACTGTATTAAAAATCTTATTTAATATGTACTTAGCTTTTTTTAAATAATTTTCACTATTGTAATAGATTTTTTGATTTTACTAAAAATGTTTTTTTTATTTTGTCTTTTGATGTACAAAATGTAAGGAAACAGTTTGTGAAATTTAAAAGAAATATTAATAACCACCTTATAAAATATATAAATAATCACAATCTTAAACTCTGTTGAGTTATTTGCATTATTAATATTTATATTATATAATATTAATATTTAGCTCTTGCATCGTCACGATCTATATGCTATTGGAAATAAATATTGTAGGTAAATAATATGTGAAGACATGTATATTTATCAAGAGTGTCACGCGGGCCTTGCGTAATTAAATACAAGTCTCGGTCCACATGAATTTTATTGTAGAAATAAAAAAAAAGTACAGGAAGGGTAAAGTACCTACAGGTAAAGGCGTAAAGGCTGTAACAATACATAGTGATACAAAAACAGGTACAATCGTTTAAAAACGCTACCTAATTGAATTAAATACAGGTTATGCTAAAAAGGAACTTACTAACTTATTTTTAGAAATTCCTACTATGCTATAAAAGCAATTCGGTTACATGATTTCCAGTGGCATTACAAATATTACATGCGGTTAGGTTAAATGATTTAACTGTTGGTCAGATGTTTATGTGAAGTCGAGCACGTGTGCTCGCCTCGGAAATTTAATAAAGAGTGCCGATGGAAAGAAGAAAGTGACGAAGAAAAATGGAAATTAAGAACGATTCAAAATAACTGTCCTGTATTTGCTGTCCTGTAGGTATCGCACAAAGAGCAACCCCTGGAGTTTCTTACTCATCCAGTAGAGTTTAATTTACGTGACGATTTTTAATGTATGTACCTACCTAATTTATTTACCTATTAAATAAAGATTATTTGAGTTTGAGTTTACCGTAGCGAGCAGTGGCGAGGCGTGAAAAATATCTTTAGTAAAGCCGGAGCAAAACAAACAACACCTGCCTTAACAAGTGGCGCCTTGGCGACAATTAGGTAAACACAAGACCTATTATCACACAAGATACTAGTACACTTTATTTCACTGGTTAATTATTGAACACGTAAATTTAAGCACAAAATGTAGTAAATTACATTAAAATATTTGTAATATTTGATGATACGTGGAAAATTTTAGGCAAGCCGGTGGGAATTGAGTTAAACATTCACAATAAATGTGCTAAATAACTAATAATAATAAATGTATGTACGTAAGCGTAGAAACTAAAATTATAGGAGCTTACCGCCACATGGATTCGATCTTTCAATTGAAAATGAGAAGAAACGGTAGGTAGTTCTCCCACTGACTTGACCATCGTTGTACGTCGCACCCTCAATAATTAATCGACGAAATTGGAGAACGAAAAAAATGATAAAGATATGGTGAAATTACAGGCACATGGCACTTGTCAACTTGTCTCAGGGTGCGCAGTGGTAGTGCCCGTCAGACCTTTGCAATTTAAAGCTCTGAGTGACACTGTAACTATTATGAACAGGCGTGTAACTTACTATCAGGCGCACGACTTGTATGTCCCGTCACTTGATGTTATAAAAAAAATCGATTTCTTAGGTGTTTTAGGAAATGAAACAAACTACTTTTTCGGATCTAAATCGCGTAATTTATTTTTTCAAATAAGCTAACGTTTCGGGCCGTTCAGTCTAGTCTAGTCACGGCAGTCAATCGTCAGATGTAAAGGGTCACAGTCACAGAACACTATACTCACAAGGAGGTCACAGTGCCACAGAAGGAGCTCTACTAGCTTAAAGAGACGCTGCTCACTCAAAGTCTGATTGAAAGTTATTGAACGAACATTGCCTCAATCAATCCAATCCATTTTTGCTTTATTCGGTCACGGAATGTCAAAAACTTCATTCGTTTGTTCATTCACGGTCATTTGTTTCGTTTCGTTTTTGTTGGCTGTCATTTGGCCTACTTGCTATTTTTGTCTAAAATTAATCGAAATTCGAACAAATGCAGGTTATATTAGTTAATAAGACATTAATTTGTACGTGACATGATTTAGTAATAGTGATAAAATGCCAGGAATTAGGAAATATCGTCGTGACACTACCGAAGTCAGCTGTTGTTTGAAATATGTTATTTTTGGTGTAAATGTTTTGTTTTGGGTATGTAAAACTTATTTACCAATTAAAATAGGCTTATCAGCATCTTTTTTTCTTTGAAACCATGAAGAATTAACCCGTTTATTTGCAATGGGAATAATTTTTAGTTACCGTATTAAATTAGTTGCGTTGCTATTTCAAGGCTGTATTCTTGCATTGTTACTAGTTTTTTCATGTGTAGGAAGTGAATAATATGACAAAAAGTATTTTAAACTTATTCAAATAATTTGTAAATACAAAATACGGATGTTTGATGTTTTCTTTGTTAACTCAGATTATTAAGGCCACTCAAGTCATTATTGGCATTCTGCTCCATAAAAGCATATTTTGACCCAAAACCAGTTAGTTTACTTATAATACTTATAGATATGTAATATATAATATCACTTAAAAATAGCCTTGATATTGTATGTGTGCGGGTTACATTTTACTTTATTACAAATTGGTAAGATCAATAAGTACCAATGATATGGTATGGTAATGTTGTAACGGACGGCATGTGGTGGGTGCAGGGTCCTACTCATGCCACTCAAGCTCCTCCGAAAATCTCAGCACGCAGCTGGGTTTTCTGAAGGCTTCGGGGAGTGACCTCGACACTCCAAGGTACTTCGCCCTGTAGTTGGCCATTAGGTACCTATGTATTAGCTAGATTTCTATTAATAAGAAGCAGAGAAACTAAAGTAACTTAAAAGTTTAGTGGCATAGGTACATGTTTGCCAAAGCAGCATACAGCTGTTAATTGGCAAATACATAGTAATGCAAGGTCATTTAAGAAACATGATACTTTAATTAGTTTTTTTAGATTATAATCCTTCAAACATTTTGCTGTTGAAATTATTTATATTTTCTACTTTCTATGTCTTCTAAAGAGCAAGCAAGCAAGCTCTTCAACTTGATTATAGGTACACTGGTATTGGAACATTTAGCAGAATGTGAGAATATAAAATACTAACATTTATAAAAATATTACTTGGTACAGCGTTTGGCATGGTAAGCTAGAAGACGTAGGTTCGATTCTGGCTAGATTGAAGGAATTTTTTCTGAGTGTTTGAACTTTGTATTAGTAATAGTAACATTTATGTTTAAATGAATAAGAATTAGACTTAAAGTATTAACTAAATTGACATCAAATGCATTTTTTTTTTATTTTGTGACAAAACAGAATTAACTCGAAATTTAAAAATTATAACACTATAACATTGTAGAAGTGAAAAAAAGCTTTTTTAACTAAAGTTTAAATTACAGTCAACTAATTTTTTATTTTCAAATTAGATCTAAAATAAAATAGTAAAATAAATCAAGGAACTTGTGAAAAAAATAGTGCATTATTTAGGGCATGTTACTATAATAGTATACATACCTCTAAATGGGCTGGTGTTTGTATTTTGAGTAATTCAACATACTCAGCATGTTTATAGTAGCATAGGTATGAGATGTGAATCAGGATATAGCCTCAATAATCCAGACATAATAGTTTGTTAAGAAAGTTATCTAATGTGCAATTGTTCACTACCAGTGGTTTGCGGAGGGGTACAATGGGTCCCAAGGGCAATCAATTGTTTAGTATGTTCTTAACTTAGCTAAGGCAATGGTTAATCCATAGGTGTAGTCGAATTATAATTTTGAAAATTTTTATTTATTTACAGTTCCTAGGACTAATCGTGCTAGCTGTTGGAATATGGGCGTGGACAGAGAAAGACACCTTCAACAATCTCTCTAGACTGACTAACATAGCTTTGGACCCGGCTTTTATTTTGATATGTGTTGGTGAGTTACTTTCTTATGAAGTAATATTGGAAACTGTACCTGAAAAAGTATGAGTTGTGTGTGTACTTTGAAAGTTGTGTGACATAATTGTATGAGTCACAAAACAAATGATTTTATTTTGAGGAAAAACAATAGGTTAATTAGTAATGTACCTGTGTCAGAGAAAGAAAGGAATAGTTTTTTGAGATGTTGTTGCTTATGAAAACTAGGCATGGACAGCAGCAAGCATATCAAGCTAAATATTGATGGATCTTGATCTGTTGCTCTGGATGCGAAATTTGAAGAAAAGTGTATGGCTTGATGTCCTGTTGACTGTATGTATGATAATGAATACATGAATCATCAAGAATCACTTACTGTGTATTTTGAGATAAAAATAAGTTTTCCCTTTATACAGGCTGGCCCATTTACAGTAGCCAAAAAATTTTTTAGATAGAGAACATTGTAACAACTAATTTAAAATAAAAATTAGTTCCAACAAAATCAGTATTTAGAAGTCATGATTTTTTTATGTGCTTTGTTGAAATTTTCTAGTCTAGTTATTAAAACCACTCTAGTTTGAAAACTATTCCACTAAATTAATTGAAATTTGGTATGGAAGTAGTGTGACCATGTAGCTAGCATACAATGAGCCATTTTTGTGTTTGTTATTAGAATACGCCGATAATTAACAGGAATAAAATGTTAAATTTTCGAAAAATTCCTGACTGAAAAATGTACAATCAAAATTTGCTAATGGCCTTAAAGACTACCTTATGATGCAGGGATTGTTTACAAATAAAATTAGGACTTATGCTATTGTACATTGCACATTATGGCTATTAGAGATTGGTTTGAGAATAATTTGATATTACAATAACTTTTTATATAATTATTATGCAAAACTACCATTCTTTGCATAATAGCTACATGGTCACACTACTTCCATACCAAATTTCAATTAATTTAGTGGAATAGTTTTCAAACAAAAATTTTCTATTCTAGTCACTAAAAAAGTCGTTTCAGTGACTAGAATAGAAAATTTTCAGAAAATACATAAAAAATCATAACTTTTAACCTATTGATTTTATTTTTAATGGGTTGTTACAACGTGCTCTATCTAAAAATAAATTGTAGATCACTGTCATTGGGTCACCTTGTAGAAAATCGTGCATAAGTTGATAAGATGTTTGGGATTTGATTATACAAAAATACAAAAAAATACATTAAATTGTTATTTATTAGTATGACAAGTAATAGTAACTACTACAAGTATGTTAAAATAATTATCATTTCGCAAAATGTTAGGATTAATTAAGTTGCTTTTTTAGCTTGCATAGTTGACATTCCTTTAAATTGTAAGTTTTGAATATGGCACAACATTGTTGTGTTGTGTAAATTTTGTTATAGCAATACATGATCACAGTCATGTCAAATTGTGATTAAGGTTCCTTTAAACCTATTGTATTTGAAACAATGCTAATGCAATTGTTTTCATGAGTCAAGGTGAATTAATTGTTTGAGATTTGATTTATAGTCAAAATTATAGTCTGGTATATGACAATTGGTGCAGGTCAATAAGGTAAATGTTATTTATGTTTGTAAATAATACATATTGAATACAGTGTTCAAGGATAAACAATTATAATTAAAAAAGTACTTTGAATAATGGTAGAATGGTGGGCTGCTTTTTAAAATGTGTAGGTATATGTCAAAATTCTTTGTTGCAAGTTATAACTTGCAAAAGGTATACCTTACGTCATTTAGGGTGTCACCATACTTATTAACGTAGAATCGCGTTATACCGGTCAGGAAAAACTTTATGTCCATGAACGTAAAAGCGAAAAAGACGTTGTGCGTTTAGCATCGGTTCGTACGAACGCGGTTCGACACAGGTACTCTCGTTGAACGTTTTCCCACTATGGATGACCTACGGAACTACTTTCGAAGTGCGTCAACGAAAAGACAGGCTTGTTCGAAACTGTCAAATCGCGTAGTGATACATTCTTAGTTCTAGCATCGAAACGCAAGTGGTCATGGTGATCCACAGTGGGAAATCGGTGGTAACCACGGATTTCGTGTTTCGAGAGTAGGACCCGAGGTCGGCATCGAATCTGCTTCCTGCAAATTTCGCGTCGATGACGGCTGATCATGGATTAGAAACAATTGGCGTGACGGCGCGCGAAGGGCCGCGCCAACGGCGAATCAAGTGTAGTTAAACAAAATCGCATCAAGAGGATTCCGCGTTAAGATTGGTGTTTCCCTTACATAGTATTCAACATATAATATGATTATTTTATAATGTTAATATCTGTGGCTTAGTGTGCCCACTCAGTGGGTTAGCGTACATACTCAAAGAAATATACAAATTTTGAGCTAAATTTAATATTCCAGTTTAACAATTATAGGTTAAAACTACTTATAACAAACAGGCATGTATGTAAAGGCTTACTTTTTACTTTCTCTTGATAAAAATTAATGAAGTAAGGTCCAAATTCCTACAAACAGTTTCAGTAGATTGCAGAACTCTCAACGGCGCTAAATTTATTAAAAATAATACATGAAACACTGCTACTACTTTATACGAAAGTACATTGAGCGAGTGAGTTGACCTCTATAAAATGTGCAGGTTGATATATGTGTATATGATGCTATATTTATTTTGTGTTTATCTATTTTAAGCTTGGCACTTAACAAATAATTAATAACCTCTCACCCGTAATTACATAATATTACGTTTTACTACTAGGTCTAGACTAGGACTAGATTGTTTTCTTTGTTGCTTTTTTTCAATGTTTCATCTAAAGAACGGAGACTTTTTAAATGCTGTTGTTCACATCTTATCCGGGGGAACATAATATTGGGTAAAGAAAACTACTACATTGTAACTCATGTTTGCAGGTACTATAACATTCATAATTGGTTTCACGGGCTGCGTGGGTGCATTGCGTGAGAACACCTGCCTCCTGGCTTGCGTGAGTACACGTTTGCTCCATTGTGTTTTAGTGCACTACTAATTTAAAAATGTCTACAAATCTCTTATGTTCATCGAAAGGAGAAGATTTTACTTTGTTTATAGATCTAGAGAGTATGTGTCACTTAAGTGTACTGGATATTGTCTATACTTTTTATTGTACACGTATTAAAAACCCATGTAACTCAAAACTGATATTTACCCGCGGATCGGTACAGATATTATATGGGAACGTGATAGGTAAAATATTGAAATTAAATTTATATTGAATTTGAAATGTTTCTGTATTAAATTATATTTCATACTATTTAAATTAAATTCCATTTTATAGTATATATTGTTTGTTAATAAAGTTGCATTTATGATAATATCTGGTCGAGCAATATAGTCGTTTAAATTATACAACAAAAGGTACCGTACGTCATAATTGTAAGGATGATTAATTCTGTCACTGGTATGAGGAAATCCGAACCCATAGGAGTCTGTCTGTCTTAGGAAACATAATGTCTTTTTTGGTGTAACTGTTTTACAGTTTAAAAAATCACACTGTATACTCGTGCACGTACGTAACTCAAAAGCGACCTCAAGTACTGAAGCATGTATTTTAAATTTGAATGATTATAAATTAAGTAATCTGTTTTTTCAGTATGCTGTTTTCCTTGCTCTACTATTGCTAGCCGAAATGACTGCGGGAATCCTCTTCTTTGTCTTCAAAGACTGGGTCAGTATTTAAGAAAATAATAAACAATTGTGTTTTTTTAGCACTGTAGGAATACGTACCATAGTAACTTTTGGAAGAAATGGGCATACACTACATTATCCCAGTACCGGTATAGAAAACCACTTACTTTACATAGAAGTATGAATCTTGAATCCAATTTTACTAAAATTGTAACATATTCTTAACATATCTTTCAGATCAAACAACAAGCTACCATGGGGTTCCAGACTTTCATCACGCATTACAGAGAGGATCCTGATCAGCAGAACTTGATTGACTGGATACAGGAAGACTGGGTAATTGTGAATCTTGTTTTTAACCCAATAGTTGTTATATTGATATCAAATATCACAATACTTTCACTTGGTTTTGTGTGAGTCCATAAGTTTATATATCATAGCCAATATTGTTAACAGGAACCTAGAGATATCTTAGTACTTTTATTAGAAATTCGCACGTAGATATTTTGACCTATCATACATTTTTTGTCCGCCTCTGTGGCCGAACGGTTATCATGCTGGTCTGCCACGCAGAGGTCCCGGGTTTCGATTCCCGGGCCGGGAGAAATGTTTGTATGGCCTACATTTATTTCTCTCGTGAGTTTGGGTGTAATTTGTGGTTGTCTATGTGTGTGTCCATCGCACCCGCGACTCAGGGTTTCCCAAGTAGTTTTATGATCTTATCTAGATTATGTTTGCAAATTATTCTGTTTTTTACTTGATAGATAATACTTAAAGTATCTATGATAAATTGATTATCAAATCGAAGCTGTCTCTACCAATAACTTTTGTAATTATAGCTCCAATGTTGCGGTGTGGAAGGACCCCGAGACTGGGACCGTAACGCGTACTTCAACTGTTCGAGCGGGGCAGTTGGCTCGAGAGAAGCTTGTGGCGTACCTTTCAGCTGCTGCAAAAGCAAACCACAGGACATAATTAGAAACAAACAGTGCGGTTATGATGTTAGGAAGCCTACTTATGTGAGTATACTTTTTAATGCTTCATAACAGTATAATTATGATGAGTGTGTTTTAAAATAACACATAAATATTTATAAAACTTATAAATATTTGGGAAAAATCTTAAAATTCTTTGATAAAAAGACATTCGGGTTGTATGCGTTCGATCCCAAATTACTTCACGAAAATTTTATGCATTTTCAAAAATGCTACGATTAGTTTCGTAAGTAATTATAACTGTACTTTAGTTACAAGAGTTACAAAATTGTTAATCAAAAGATATAAAAAAACTATAGCAAGTAAGCGAGCGTGTGATCCACGAGCGCGGCTGTATGGCAGCCGGCGAGGATTGGCTGCAGCGGCATTTCGTGCCCGTAGCCGCCGCCGTCTTAGGACCACTCGCGTTAAAGGTTCATTTAGGCTCTTCGCTAGTTGACGCGGATGCGTTTGGTGTGCGAGTAAAAAAGCGTAGGTTTAAATATTTTTATTACACATACACTACGTATTTTTATTTAATAAACCAGATGCTATATAAATGACGCAAACAATATTTTTCTTCATCGTGTAAAATTGTCAAAATTGAGATAGTACCGATTGCCAGTTCACAGTCGATATACAACAAAATACAAAGGTCAAAGGCTTTCCCTTTATAGGAAAACGTCAATTTATTTGATAGTACAATAATCTCAGTACAGAGTACTAAAAAAACCGACCTAAAAAGTAATTCATCCCCTAGTTTGCCACCCTTAGAGGTGGAAAATTTCCGTCAAATTTAAATGGGACCAGTGCTGAGGTTTTTCTTTCCAACAAATACGAAAAAGGAGTTGTTGCGTAACATGCAAACCAAAAAAATACAGTCAATATTCTGTATTGCACAATAAACAAGCAAAAATACAAAACCATCAAAAATACAGTGTACAACAGGCGGCCTTATTGCTAAATAGCAATCTCTGCCAGGCAACCTTGGGGTGATAGGATAAACTAAAAGTAGTAATAATAATAGAGGGCGCAATAAATATGATATTATTATTAAACATGATAACACACAGTCGAATTGTGAAGCTCCTCCTTTTTTTGAAGTCGGTTAAAAATCTGCCAAACTTTGCCTCTAAGACGAGTGAACTGTGACAGTTGTCTCTAGCGACCGCGTAAATTACTTCACAATTTTGTATGGCAAATTATACAGCGCCTCTAGCGGTCACAAGAAGAAAGAACATTTTGTATATAAACATTTTACGCCGTCGCTAGCGTTAACTGGCACTGTAATCTCATGGTAGACGCACTGGTGTATTATTATTTCGGGAATTTACTTACTAAAGTCTTTCTGATAGCGATGATAAGAAAACACGCTAGTTATAAATTGTTGCAAAGATTGAACAAACACAAATATTCCTTCGATCTTGTTGGACTCGAACCAGCGACTTCGTGAAACCGGGACTATCGCTCTCCCAACTGAGCTACGGAACGCGTCAGTAAGTCTTACGAATTTCTCTTTGTGCTTATTGCAAATATTTGTTTTTGGTTTAACGGCTTTTTTGCCGCGCCACCTATGAAAAATAAGTGAAAGTTTTTCTTCACTAAGCACGCTAGTGTTATAAAGGTCTACTTAAAAAAATGATTATAATATAAAAAAGAGTTCTTTTGACAGCTCCCCTAGCTGTCAAAAGATTGACAAATATTTGGTGTAGTCGATACATAATGTAATTTTATGGCAAAGGTACGTACTACAATGGTTTATTTTTAGGTTCTATTGACCCTAGGCGCAGCCTTGGTTGTCCAATTAAACCAGTTATTTATAGCTACAACAAACGCACTCGTGTCAACTAGAGAAGGCCCGAAATCTTATTTTTCTCTTCGTTCGCTTTTACGTCACAATGTCGTTGAATTTTGTATAGATTGTTTAGTTAGATTATTTGGTCACACTTGCAGTTTAACGGGGTAGTGTGACAGGCAGCTCAGTGGCATTGGTATTCTGTCTTTCCGACTAAGTGATACCATTACTACATGGCTACATTACTAAATGGCAACACTGGACGGTAACGACACTCAATTTCAATGACACTGGGCTGTTATTTGCCTTACGCAGTTAGAGCTGGGTATAACAACAAATTTTGCTTATCACAACGGCTATAGTTGGTGTGTTTAGCTACTTTTTTGTACAGTGCACCTTATTGATCTGTCTATTTAGAAAGCTTTCAGTTTAAAAAAAATTATATGGTTTTTTTCACATTTTCGGGAAAACCTAAGTTAAAATTTCATTTGCGACGTAAAATCACAGGTTAATTTATTTCCTTCGTTTTCGTCATACATTTTTTCGAAATAAATCCATCGGGCAAATCATCGGAAATAAAGTTTGTGTATTGATAATACACAAATATTCTCTGGGGTCGTCAATATAACGGGTATAAAACAAATAATGTGAGTTACACGACTTTTGCGCTGATAGCATCAATTTATTAGTCAAATATAGTCAGTCTGTTGTCCTAGTCTCTTCCGCGCGCAGTTATAAATTGTGAAGCAACAATCCTACGCAATATTATGACTGAGCATGAAAATGAATTTTTATCAAATAATCCAACTTGCACAATGCATTGATAGTGCAAAGAGAATTTTACTATAATTTCAAAACCATAACTTTTATATTCTAAGATACCATATACGCTTTACCAGGATAAGGGATTGATTAGGAATTAAGTTTAAGACCAAAAATTGTACTAGTTGCTACATCGTGATGGCAACTGGTAAAATTTTCTTAGTTTTTTCTTTTTTTTGTAATTACGTCAGTAGGGTAACATCGGGCATTCTAGACCGAACGTGAACGAAGGTGGTCTAGAATGCCCAGTATTACCCTACTATGCTCTGCTATAGTTTGTACTTGTCCAGGGAAGTACTGCTACCTTACCTATTTCCGCCGCCAAGCAGTAGTGTGAGCATTACTGCGTTCCAGTTTTGAAGGATAAGGGTGCTGGTGAAATTACAGGGACATGGGACCTGTCAACTTATGTCTCAGGGTGACGGGCGCAATGTCACTGCCCTTCAGATCGTGTGATTTAAAAGCTCTGATTAGTACTGCAATTGTTGTGGACAGGCGTGTTGCTTACCACCAGACGCACGATTTGTTTGTCCCGTCACTTGGTAGGTAGAATAAAACTAACAATTAATAATGTGTTTTTTTGGATATGAACAGCGTATATTTCTTTTTTCAAAGAAACCAAGATTTCGGGTCCTTTACGGGTCCCATTTGTTTAATTGTGACTAAAGTTTGAATAATAAATAAGATTCCAAACCCTCGTCCTATCTATAAAATCATGGTCGTGTAACGTCAGTAATGCTTCGGTCACCGGACATGCGTCATATATCCCGTTATTGTAATGATGCTCTGAACTGTGTGACCTTTTATATCTATGGCTGTGACAAGGGGCAATAACCTCACTTATACGAGTACATTTGAATTCTATTATCGTACGTCCTTTGAACTCGAAGTTCAATGTTATTTAATGTTGATATGCAAAATAACATGTAGGTTTCGTATACCTCATTTTATGGGACTTTATGTATGTTTTCGTATTCATTATGTAACAAAACAGCAAAAATGTACAGAATTTAATACAATACACGACTTGTAATTGTTTATTAACTTATACTTATCTAGACACATTTATATCATTGTATGTTTAGTTTTTCTATATTCATATACAATAGTTGTATATTTCGGGTTGATAATAATCGTCTCTAATGGCACAATTCAATTCCATCATTAATTAATAATTTTTGGTCATCGGGAGATTAGACGTAGGCTGGGATTCCACTCCTATGTTGCGAATATTCCAAGGATTCGCTCGAGGCGTTCGTTTCGTTTCTTTCCACAGTGAACGGCTATGGAGTGGAATTCCTTGCCTGCAGACTTGTTCTCTGAACGGTATACCTTGGGCGTATTCGAGGCGTGAGTGGATAGGTATTATTTAATGTGCATGCTCCATTGTTGACCTCATCGTCATTTTCCATCAGGTGAGACCGAGATCAACCGCGCACTTCTTTTTTAATATTAAAAAAAAATGAGACGTGATAAAATTTAATTTATTGATTTGAGACAAATATTTATATTTTATATACTATTGGAGATGAAACTATTTTTCCGGGTTTAAATCGCGTATATTTTTTTTATTTCAAACAAACCAACGTTTCGGGCCCTTTACAGGTCCCAAAGTCACGGTTGAATGGGTAACAATCGCGAAAACCTAAGAATTTTATATGTTATTTCATGTTTTCTTTCTTTGAATGGTGTAAGATGTACTTTAGCCTACAATATGTAAATGAGCACGTAGCAACATGGGTGACGCGTGGATTGCACTCCACTACGATACTTGGTCAATGTGCATCGAATACTTATGACCTATACATCAATATCAATTTGTCAGTGTATCAATTATTTACTAATTAGTAGCAATAGAGCTCCTTGTGAAAGAGTTCGTCCAGGGAAGTACTGTCACCTTACCTATTTCTGCCGCCAAGCAGTAATGTGAGCATTACTGCGTTCCGGTTTTGAAGGGTGTTGGTTAAATTATAGGCGTGTCTATATATGCCTTATGTCTCAGGGTGACGGGCGCAGAGGCAGTGCCTCTCAAATGTTTGCGATTTAAAGCCATGCGTGGCACCGCAACTGTTATGAATGAAAAAATATGAATCATAGATATAGACACGCCTGTGTCGCTTACTACCAGGTGCACGACTTGTTCGTTCCGTTACTTGGTATCATAAAAAAAACGGGTACACCCTTCAACAGTCAGTCATTGCCTGTTCTAAAAACGAAATAAAATTACAAGACGAATTAATAACTTTCAACAAAAACTAAATTAAATGGATGAATGACTAAAATGCTGGCGGCGTTTTCCTATTGAGATTGTGCCAACACGTTACGGCATGTAACTCTACTAATGTCTTCTCTTGAGTCTACCTTTCAGTCACCTTTTTCTGTACAACGCCAAACTTCGTTCATTCCTGATATCCGTGTTTGACTGTTATGGCTCCCATATACGGGCCGATTTGTCTTCACGATCTGTCGTTCTAGGGGTAGTACTCCCATTCACCGCCCCACATCCGTCTCAAACAATTACTGTCAAATAAATAATAATAATACTCGACCAAATCAAAAGACGTATGGTTATGATGCGAATGAAGTTTCATACTTGACATTTTTGATTTGGTCGAGAGTATTACTTATTTGACAGTAATTGCTTCGGACGGATGTCAGATGGAGAACGGGAGTAGACAGAGACTAATCTATGTATGTTTATATCGATACCAGAAGTATCAATTAACGTAAGGGACATTTTGTCGAAAATGAGTTACATGTATCATTGGATTCGGAAGTTTCCGCTCTATCGATTGGTATTATTAAAATTTAGCAATGTCTAGTGGTTTAAAATATAGCATGTCCCTTACATTAAAAAATGTTTAGTTGTGCCTTACGTTACTAATATTTTAAGGGATCCTTTACAATAGAATTACGTATAATTTTCTATTTCTTTTACTGCTTATAGTGTAAGTATGCTCGACGGTTTACACATAATTAAAGCATACAGTAAAAAGTTATAGACAGTTTAAAAAAAATAAAATCGTTTTTTGGCTCTCCTGAAAAACCGTAGTAGGTCCCTTACATTAATTAATACTTTTGGTGTCGATATTTCTCTTTACGATCCGTAGTTGCAGACCGATTGAAACGACGAAGGGTACGTTTATGTCATTAACGATTAACTTGAACACCAAGGAAGTAGCGACGGATCCATACTGTTACCGTGACGATCGATCGAAAGGATGAATCGTCTGTATATGAGGGGCCTTTATACATTTAAATACATATTTCTATCGTCATATAATTTTTTATGTAGACTTTTTCTTAGTAAGCATTTTATTTGAAATTTCCTTTTTCTTTTGTTATAGAACTTTGATATAGCTAAGATTATATATGACAAGGGCTGCATAGAGGCGGCCGAGGAGTGGTTCGACAACAATCTGTTGATAGTAGCCACATCCGCTGTTTGTATCGCTTTTGCAAAAGTAAGTTTTTGTTTGTAGTTTGCACTTCTTATTATAATTTGTCTTTATGAATGTCGCTCTCATTTCTATATTTATCAACTCTAGTAATTTGTAAAGTTTGTGGTATTGTCATTAATTCACGAATTACGGTTGTAGTGCATGATCCAGATTTATATTAGCTCTAGTTGGTTATGTACATATCTGTGGCTGTAGTGAAAAGGGGTACATGTAAAAAAGCCAACTTTACAAGGAAACGCCAAAAACATTTAACGCTTAATATCATATTACGCTTTAACTGTTTTTTGCGTTTCTTTCTAAAGTTGGCTTTTTTTAATTGTACCCCTTTCAATAGATATGGTACAATTTATCGACAAAACTAGTTGTCTGTGAGGTTTGTGAGCGGTTGGGTAAACTACTAACAGTATATGTTGAAAACTTACAATAAAATTGTACAGTTATGACTGTTATGTTTAACCGACTTCAAAAAAAGGAGGAAGTTCTCAATTCGGCTGTATATTTTTGTGTGTGTATATCATACGATTACTCCGACATTTGTGAACCGATTTCAATTGTTGTTGGAACGGGGGTACCTCTGTCCCATTCAATTTAAAAAAAATCCACTTCTAAGGATGGTAAATTAGGCGATAAATCCGGTATATTATATTTCTACCACTTTCCGTTAACCGATTTTTAATAAAACTTGGCAAATAGATGTCATTCCACAAACTTTTGAGGTCTGTTTTTTTGTTTAAAAAAGTGATATAAATTTTTTGTGAAACAAGTTCTGTCTCCTATTTGTCTGCGCTCACATAGCTCCCAAGTTCGCGTCCTATTTACAAGGTCTACACAAGATAAACTAGAGAATGCAAACATTACTGTAGCGTTTCGTGCCACTTTTGACATATATAAAACCTAAACTTCTAGACAAAAAACAGCAAATATCGGTTTCGACTACATGCAGTTAATGCGTGAAGTCGTTATCCAAAATTTCGACTGCATGAAGTTGATTACGCCTTCACGCATTAACTGCAAACATGTAGTCAATGTGTTAGCAGTTTAAGCAAGAAATTACAAAGCAAACTCAAAGTTTAATTTTGCTTAAAGGTAGAGTTCGTTTTGTAAACATGAAAAACTTGCCTAACTCGCTCGCCATTTTCGCTTAGTCGGAATCAAAGTCCGTACACACGGTGATTTAAAGCAGCGATACAAACGGATTGTATCACGACTCTTGCGATTCATATGCAGTTGTGTCGATGCGTTCCTGCGTCTGCATCGTTGCAGTCGCTTATGTAGATTAATTAAAAACGTGGATCACGTTTGCATCGCGATTGGTAAGTCGCGCGTGTGCGTAAGAATAGAGGATTAGTGACTGCAGACACGCTGCTAAAAGTCGTCGTGTGTAACGGCTCTAAGAGTTCAGGGGTCTACTGTTGAAGCCACTTAGTATGAATGAACGAGCTGAAATCAAAAAGTGGCACGAAACGCGCATGATCACTTAAATGAACCAGTACAACGTGTATACAAATTGTAAATTATAGTATGCAAATCTTGAGTGGACTACCCTGCCCGTGGACTTATTCCCCGAACGCTATAACTTGGACCTTTTCAAAGAGAGAGTGAATAGGCATTGTTTAGATGTGCATGCTACATCGTCGACTTTGTCATCACTTTCCGTCAGGTGAGGTGAAGGTCAAATGTGCACTTATTTTTTATACAAAAAGGTAAGTTGCGAACCGTAATAAAATAATTAATATCGCATTTGCAGATCTTAGGCATATGCTTCGCTCAAAACCTCCGCGCGGACATATTCGCGCAGAAGGCGAAGTGGCACTGACAATCAGCCTCTCCTGCCGCCGTGTGACGCCGCGGGCGTCGCGCCGTCGACCCATACATCGCGCTCTACGCCCTACACGCCGATATTTGCTAATTCATAGTAACGAAAAGAACTACGTTTTTAATTTGGTGGATTTAGGCTCAACTTACATTGCTGCGGAACATGCTAGAAGCGAATTTTTATAACGAATTTGTAGCGTTCGTAACGCATTATGTCATTACAATCTCTTCCTTCAACCCAAAAAATCATTAATGATGACACAGTTTTATTCATAATTGTAAACTGGTAATTTTTATGTCGGTTTCAAATCATTTACTAGGAGAGATGTGCAGTGGATTAAAATCCAATCACCCCGTTTTAACGAGGTTTTTACCCAAAGCCGGGTTTTAACTCACTTCTGCCTAAAATCGTGCGCAGAAACGTGTAAAATAATACGAAATATGGTATAATTCCATAGTTTCAATATGAAAAATCTTTTATAGACGAAAAAGAGGCAACTTCACACAATGCCCTACCTAGCAATACTGTGGACTCTCACTTACAACTAGGGCTGCACATTATGATTCGATTTTTTGTAAAAATCGATTCAAGTGTTATCGAGTTTTTGTATAGATTAATTTCAATGCCATTTTCAAGCGAATCAATTCAATAGAAAGGCGAATAATGTTAACAAGCAATAAACATTTTGTAATTATAAATATATGAACATACCTTGATTTACAAATATTTAATTGTAAATAAGTTTTTGCCCTCGATTTCGGGCGTTAATGGGTTAACAAAATGAAGGGTTAAAACTCGGGTGCTTGCCCATCTCTGCTTACTAGTGATTTGAAACTTCTATTGGCCAAAATTCATCACAAATATGACTTCCAGATTAGTATTATCAATAGTATAATCGAATCTCGAGGAAAAATGTTCAAGTTGTGGTAACTGTAGAACAGTCTTGAGGTGAAAACCTTAAAAATCATGTTTTTGTTTGTTGACATTTATTCTACATCGAATTTGGCTAAGAGTAAAGATACGATACCCACGGGGGTTTTTCGGCGCGAATTTTGGGCTCGTATCTAGTTTTTACGTTACACAATTAAAATACAGTTCATTATGTTAGGTTACCAAAAGTAGCTCTCATTTAAATCTGCCGCAATATAAATTGAACCTTATTTTTAAGGTTACAATAAAATCTGGGGAGAAATCGTGACTGATATTCTAGACGTACGATTATTTCTTAGTTCCGATAAGTCATTATAATTTTTAGCGCATAATTATGGCACTCGGATACAATTTCTTACCTTTGCTTGTTTATAGTACATTAGGTGTCTAAGTCTTAGTTAACTCTCCTGTAGTTTGACTGTTGACCGTCATCAGCATAACCCTACCGTAGTTAGTGGAATAGTGGATGCGTTTCTTTCTCAGAGTCCATGTGAGTGTCGAACTCATGACTTTAAAAGTATTGCCCTTTTTGCATTGGGTTTGACACACTAGAGTACTGTATAGTCAGTCTTTTTTGACGACGGATGATGACATTTGTAGGGTTGCCAATTTTCGTCAAATTTTAAATAGTTCTGTACTTGTCGATAGTTTTATCGATAGATTGTGAAAGAAGATAAAATTTTACCAAAAATTACTGAATTGTGAATGTTACGACGTTCTAGTCATTACTAATCGAGTTATTGCCTTCTTTCTTCTTATTTTGACAGTTGGCCTACTAATATCGAGATCAATTTTTATTCATATACATTTTAACAACAATAGCCGGATTTGATTATCTATATTGAATTAAAATGAAAAACTTTAAAATATGTCTCCTCTTTATATTTTTCATAAACAAAGTTCTAAATACAGTGTATGTATGTAACAACTTACAAAAATTGACAATTCAAATGAACTTGTGTTCAGTAATTAGACGAATAATGGGCCGAGGATGATTCAAATGAAACACGTTCGGCTATTCCATAAGCGTCACCAATATTCAGTAGACAGAATATTTATCGACTGCAATCATAAGCTACTCGCAAGCGAGAAACACTAGCGCAAATAACTGTCATTTTCTCCCTCTTCAAAAAAAAGACAAGACTTTAGTAATCGACGCCATTTTATCTGATTCGAATTTATGAAATTACTAAGTATTCACGGTTATTTTTGTAAAACACTAGCAAACTCGCAGGACTATATTACTAACATCATAAACGACAACTTTTGTTTCATTACTTTTTTACAAAACGCAATGAATTTACCAAAAAAATTTTAGTTCTACTATAAGACATTTTTTAGATCTGTATTTGGTAGTAAGGTTGTAAGTTCAAACACGCAAGCGTCCTCCCCGACGCTCCGCACACCCGCTCCTGTGTTTTGCACGGGACTGTTATTTACGCAAGCCCTTTCTTTTGTTAACGCGCAGAGTTATAACCGTTTAGAGCGATTTTTGTTATTAAATATTTTTACACCAAAGTAAAATCTGATGAATTATTAAAAGTCGTGGAATAAAAGTTGATGTTATTAATGTTGTTAGTATTTTACAAATAACTCTGTATGTATTAATTGTAAAAAATTGTATTCGACGTTCTATTATTTATTGGTCCACCAAATTAAAAAGATCGTGTGATAAGAACGTGCAGAAGGCCATTAAATGGGTACTCATATTATTTTTATTAATTTTTTTATGGCATTTGATTGTTTAAAATCTATAAGTATTTGGGTTAAGTACAAGCCTGACACGTTATTATTATTAAGTGCATAGCAATTGCCTTCAGCGCGTTATCTTATATCATTAATTACAACAAATTATATTTACACGCGTTTATTTACAGAGTTATATGACTACGTTGGCTAGGTGGTAAGTGCTCCACGTTGATTTATCTAATATCCTAAGGTCTTATCTAATATCCCAAATATATCTCACTTTTTTATATGTGGAATGTTCTCGAAATTTTATAAAAATTACAATGACGTCACTTCTCCCTTTGGCATTCTTCCAAACACCTTCTAAAATTCCTTTATACTTTGGAAAATTCTTTAATAATTCCTGTTATAACGTCCTTTGGTTTCCAATTAATGTGGTACACTCGCATACTGAGATTATTTTTTCGAAAACGTTGGTTTAATTAACTCTATCGTTAAACTTTAAGGATAATTTAAAGTAAAAAAGCCCATTTTTCAAGGAAACCAGAAAAACACTTAACGCTTAATATCATATTAAGCTTTACCTGTTTTTCGCGTCTCCTTGTAAAGATGTCTTTTTTACTTGTACCCCTTTTCACTAGAGCCACAGATTTAAGGGAACTTCCAGCCTATTTATTGACTGACATTAAAGAAATGAAAGGCTGTGTTTGAGTAGACTGACTAATCTTGCCAATTAGTTAAGCAATACTTATTATGGGGACGATAAGTACCACTTTAATTGTTGACCCACACGTCCAGAATTATCCATTGTGTAATATAGTTGCTAAAAGTCAGCTTCGGTGGGTTTATTTACGACTTTATTATTTAGCCAGATAAAGTAGATTTTTGGTCACAAAAAGATAAGGGACTGTTCCCTTATAATGAAAATTGATTCCAAATTAGAACTTTATGAGTGCAAACTGTTGGTCTTAATTGAATTGATGCTCTTGGACGTTACAATATACTAAATATAACGTCCAAGCTTGCATTCACCCGCACGACGTACTACTCAATACTTTCTTTACCTTTACATACGACGATTGGTAAATCCTTTCACGACTATGGCAAGTATTGGTGTATGCCATCGATACTATAAGAAGATGTGCACGTTTATTCTGAACAGCAATAGAAAAAATACTCAATGCAAAAACTACCGAAGCTGGTTCTATAACAAATGTGTTCAAATGTTGGCCAACTTTTAGCCTTAACGGGAGCTGTGAGATGAATTTAAAATATATTAATAACTCGTTATGATCTTGATATTGGAATTACTGCGAGTATTAAGCGAATCTCCAACGCGAACAGTATTCAATATTATACAGAGGTGTTACATAGATTATTAATTAATTATTATTAAAATTTTCGATGCAAGTACGTTGTGTGTTGTTGAGAACATTTCTGTCGTTTATATATAATCGAATATTTTAGTAATTATTTTTATAATAAATGCATGTTGCTATAATTAAAGGTGGTCATGCTTTATTATGACACTTCGAATAAATTACTAAAGTTGTGGAGGAAATTAGAAAGCACAAGCGGAATTCAAATTTGCGTCTACAGCAATAATAAAACAAACAAAGCACAAAAAACAAACAATAGTAAGGCACTATTATATAAAATAATACGAACTGGCACGCTTCTGCCGTTTGAGTCGGAAGTCTTCGGCTTTCTTCGGTCTTCACATTTGGTCAGATTTGATTTTCCGATTGGATATTAATCAGGCCGAATGCCCTGCCCGGAGAACGGAAGTCATCGTGTCAAGTCAAGCGTAACAATAAGTACGTACAAATATTCTATAATTTTACGTGCAAGACTGCTTGTAGCTAACGCGTAGGCGCTAGGGTCGAGTGAAGAGCAGCAGGAGAATAATGGCTGACAATATTTTAAATCATAAATTAAGATGACATGGTGTAATAGGTCAGATTTGACGACTATTATAAAAATATGATGTTTATCAAACTTTTATGGAATGTTTTATAGGCATATTTTTATTGAATATCATGTCGTTTTAACTACCATGATATTCATCTATTTTTTGTGAAAATACTCTACTAGTTTGTTATTATTATTAATACAAAGATCGAACAAAGTCAAAAAACAATTCCTTCGACCCGATTGGACTCCCGTACGTTGAAATAATCTTTATTTGTTTTTGTTCGATTTTATAATCAAAGTAATGTTTTATAAGGTTGGGTAATTATAAATAACAAATAAACTACACCTTATGGTTATAATAAAAATGATAGAAGTATAATTGTATTTATTAATCACCAAAAAACATAATATAGTAGCCAGTCAAATCTAGCCTACAACAACGAAAGTATTTAGTTAAGGTTATACTAACAAAACTTAGTGATTTAGGAATACTCAATTTACATAAGAAATACTTTTTACGCGTTTGTAATGACTATTGCCGATTTTAGAATAATTGTATTAAAATTGGACTTGAGAAATCTGTTAGTTGAAGTCTTTCAAAATGAAATATTATTTTAAGGCCGCTTTCTACGATTCATGATTATACAGATCACCTCGCACGAGCTCGCATCCGCGCTCCAAGAAAGGAGGCTCATCCGTAACGGTGCATTGATCAATGCCTAGCGAAAAATGTGCATACCGGCAATGCACACACAACGTTGGGTTGTCATTCTGTAATTGGCTAATTATTATTTCGAAATGGGCGGAGCCGGTGCGTGTTTATCGGCAGTACGAGCCAAACGGTAAAATCATGGATCGCCGAAGCCGCTTTTAGAACTACAAAATGGAACAAAGGACACGCCACATAGTTGTGAGGCGGTTCTGGCACGGCGACAGTCGCTTAACATACTACGACTTTCGCATCTCATTATCTTGTGCGTCGTTTCTAGAATTACAATCATCAATAATCAATGCGAAAGCCGAGTGTGACATTGTGTTAAACTCTATACAAACACCAGTAGTCGCCATGTCAGACATCATCGTGTGAGAACCGCCTTATTCTCAAGTTTATAGATAAACAATATTCAGTGGATTATTATCATGATCCAATAAGTCTGTTCTTTTTTTGCCGTTTAACACTATTATTATAGTGCTTACAATATACAAAGATATATATGCTCTATGGTTCGTCGTTAAGATTTCTCAGTCTGTTTGTATGTAGTCCAGAATATTATAGAGTGCTTATAAAATGCTTTAAAGACGTTAAGAAATCTCCCGTTTTATACATTAGCGGCACAAATTATTCATAGCTTATACTATAAAAAGTCCCTATAGAATTACATATAATATTATTATTGTAACGTAGAAATTATCGCATTTGATTATTTACCTTATTATATATTTAGGCAAGGTTTAAAATACAATTTATTAAACTTATATTTGAATAATCAGTATTTGGAATCTGTATTAAATTTTATCTAAGCATTCCTTTTATATTTATACCGACTGTTACACACAGTAAAATATTGATAGTGACTCCTCACTGGGGCCATTTTTGAAGCGTTTTGTATCTAAGTACAATATCCACTTTGTACGAGGTTTGTTAAAATTTTTATTGCTGGTTTGGATACCACAAATAGCTTCGTAATATATGCTACATCCATTAGACTAAAAACACTGCCTTATTAAACAAGTATTAATAAAACTAATGCTAATTATTTATAGTGCTACTTTACTGATGTCAATATTTTGCGGCAAATTACAATGTTAGTTAATAACGACTCTACATATTTAGTTTAGTAAGAAGAAATAGAAAGTTTAAAAAGTATTTTACTAATTTATTTTAATACTGTATTGGTACACAAATACGTTGAATGCATCTCTATTGTTACATTTTTTGGATTATTTTTGGTTCATTTTTATATTTTTGGTAACTAGTTTTAATTTGAGTGATTTTTTTGTCAAAAGTATTTCAAATATTGTATTTGTATTTATAGTTGTAGAATTTCAAGTTATTCATTATTCCATTCAATTGACTTAAATAATATTTTATACATTATTACATTATAAAATGAAAACGAATACTGTGTTTTATTGTAAAGCCTTTTTATTAAAAAATGAAGACTAAATTTTTAAGGAAATGAAGTGAACCGTTAAAGTATGAAAATAGCTTCTTAAAAAAAAAATATTTTCTCTAAAATCCGGAATCGGATTTTGCACGA